CCATCTCATCCATTGAACATACAGTATGCCATCACATTTGAACTGAAAACCTCTGGCAGTTTCTTTATGGAATTGACCTCAGGAATTAACAAGTGTGTGGGTTTTATGCTTTAGTTTTCCTTGTTTGTTAAGATGGTGGTCAGGCTGTCCCAACTGTGTGCTTTGGACTCTCTTTGGGGGTGCTTATTCAGCTCACAAATGGTTCAGAGGCCAACCGAAAAGTCCCCAGGAATCATGTGTCAGATTTTTGGCCACCGTGGCTGGTTAGGCCTAATCTTTCCGCATCCTTTGTAAGTTACTTTTCTGTGCTTTGGTTTCCTCATCTTTAAAGTGGAGGTGAGGCCAGAAGCAATCTCAGAGATGTTTTAACGATTTAGAAGTTACTGTGTGTCAGACAAGAACCAGCTGGCTAGGAATGGGCTTTCTGCTTTTGTGGTGGATATAGTTTAAAGTACAGAGACGAAGCCGAGTTCATGGACAGGTTTTCTGTAGAAAAAGCTTTGGCCTTGACTGGTGTAGCTCAGTGGTTTGAGCACCAGCCTGTGAACTGAAAGGTTGCCAGTTCAATTCCTGTTCAGGGAACATTCCTGAGTTGCAAGCCAGGTCCTCAGTTGGGGGCATTCAAGAGGCAACCAATCAGTGTTTCTCTCCCTCTCTTTCTCCCTCCTTTCCCATCTAAATAAAAGAAAGAAAACCTTTTTAAAAAAGAAAAGCTCTGTTTGGAACAGAGAATTCAGTTTCTTTGCCCTCCAGGGTAGTCCATCTGGCCCCAGCTTGAAGGTGAAGCAAAGTGGTTACATCCAAAGCCTTTGCTCCATCCCTTGGCTTCTCAGAGAATCAATCCATTTGGAAACAGAGGGAGGCACAAAAGGCACAGCCCAGCCCCAGAGTTCCAGAAATCAGTTACCTTGATTTCATCATGCCTTAGGGATGTTACTGGAAGATTCCAGAATGTCCTACTTAGTGGGAAGTATATGGGTTACTTCTCCTGGTTGGGCAGTTGTGGCAGGGATCAGGCATCCTGGTGGGTGACAGTGTTTCCCTGCCCTGAGGCCTGAATAATTTCTCCAGAATGGGGCCACCCCTACCTGCTCCTTGCCTGCAGGGCTTCCCCTGGCACAAGCTTGTCTCTGATTCCTGAGCGCTTTTTAGGGGGGAAATCTAATGGTGGAAACCAAATTGCACATCATTTTTCGTCTTCACTTAATGCCACCCACACTCCTATGCTCACTTATCCAGCACATCCGGGCCTCCCTCTGTGATGAAGCCATTTGTCCTTTTTTGTCCCTTTGAGCATGGTAGTCCCACTCACTGCATGTCCAATTGCAGGCATTTTTAACCCCAGTGACATTCTTCCTTCTCTGTGGTGCTGCCCCTCTGTGGATATAAGCACTAGGCATGTCTGTGCCTCTCTCTGCCTCCTTCACAGACACTGGACCAAAGGCTCCTAGCAGCTGGCAAGTTGTCTGTCATTTGCCCTATTTTCTCCTGTCTTACTGGCCCCCTGCCCCAGTTTCTGAAGTTGCCCAGTAAATGATGACCACATCCATTTACCTACCCATGGGCGTCTCCGATGTCCTGTGAATGTTTTTTTTTTTCCTCCTTACTCTCTCTTCCAGAAGTTTCCTGTAAACTCTACTGGCTTACTCGCTTCTCCACCTGCAGCCTACCATTGGTCTTGGCTGGCTGCCGTCTGGAAAGAGTCACAGTGAGGCCACAAGCCAGAGGCCCTTTGTGATTGTGGCCAGCCCTCCCACTTCCCCCACACCTCTCCTGGAGGGCAGGCTGCCCTCACATCTCCCACCTTACCCCTATCCTGTCTTGATACTTGTATCCTTAACTGTGAGGGGTGTGTGTGTGTGTATTTAAGCCAGTTTACTGTTTTATTTATAGTACCTTTATTTTGAAAGGAAACTAACTCAGAAGCCACACATGGATATTAGTAAAATTAAATATTATGAGACCAAAACAAATTGTTAAATTTTGTCCAGATAATAGTTTGTAAACCCTCCCAAAGCCTCACTTGAGCCCTGGCATGTCACTTTGCAGGTGGTTGTAGACCTTGCTTCTCTGTGATTGAGATCCTACTCTTGATCAGTTAAACCTGAGAGCTTGCAGAGATCCTCTTCTCCCTCTTCCTTGCCACTCACCTCAGTGTGAAGACACACCTTTTGTCTGCAAGGCACAGTGCACAGCAGAATGTAGCTTCTGAGGTGTTGCCTCCCTCTTTCCCCTCTTCAAGTTTCTCACCATATCCTGCTGCATCTTGGGTCACCAGTATCTGTTCTCTATTTTCTGAGCAAGCTCTTTCTGACAGTTCCACGCTTTACCCCCAGCTTTGGGTGCTTCTCCTCTCTGGATCTACTTGTAGGTGGCCTCCTTGCTGTTTTCATTGGGGTGCATTTTATTCAGGTCTTGTCTCTGGGGCCCCCCTCTCCTTGCCAAGTTCCCAATCAGGGACACCTTATGTGCCCCTCTCCCATCAATGGTGTCTCTGTTCCCGTAGCCCTGCCTTGATTCATGCCACAGGCACTGCTTTTCTGGACCACATATTCGTTCGTTCTAGCCACACTTTTACCACAAGTACCCCAATGGATACTTGCCTTGTATTCCCAAGCAGGCCTACCCAGTTACATCTGCCTTTGGAAACTATTGTAGTCCAAATAGTGTTCCTCTGAGCTTGTTATACTGTTGCTGTGTCTTACTAGGCCCACTGTCAGATGGAGTTGCTTCAGGGGAGTACCTTTCATGGTCCTGCACATCCTGCACGCTGCTCTCTGAGGTTGGGAATGCTCCCCACAGGCTGCTGCCCAGCTGGTCTTCATCTCCAGTCCCTATCACATTCTCGTGCCAGCACTGGCTACCCCTTCCCCATCTCTACATACCATGTGTGAAAGCGGTACCAGGAAACACCTTCCTGTTAATGTTCTGCTTGGTCGGGTGTTCTCTAATAGAGCATATGGTCTTAGAGGTTCGTTATCTTAGGAGCCATTCCCTCCCCCCACCTTCTTGAGGCTCAGGAGTACTCTGGGAAGGTGAGGGCTGTAAATTCTTGCCTGGTGTCTTAGATTACAGTTGGACCTTATTAAATACTTACATTCAGCATGGGATGCAAAACCGCCTCTGGACACACAGGTCGCCTGCTGTAACACTCTCCCTCTAGTGGCTTGGGTGTTTCCATGCAGGTGACACAAGTGTGTTTCTCTGCAGTGTGGTCCTCTCCTGTAAGCTAAAGGAATTAATGAATTACTCAGTATTTTTTAAATGATTGGCATCCCTTCTCTGAAAAGTCAGAAGGCAGTTAATCTCTTTATTGTTTGGTGGGAAAGGATAATAAAGAACAATCCTTCCTCTTAAAGCAAACATGGATTCAGTTTTTATACTGAATCTTTAAGATTCAGAGTCTTACACACAGTGGCCTTGGGCTGCTCCTACATTGGTGCCTTCCCCGTGGCAGCCTCCTCCGTGGAGCATGCTCTCCTCATGTTCTCCAGCTAGGTGATAACTACCTGCGGTTGACCAGATATTGTGGAAGGAAAGACATGTCAGTTTTGTCAGCCCTCAGACTCATCCTGCAACCAAGAACCCCAGCATTGGGGTCACCTGGTCAGGATTCACACGTGAGTTGGTCAGCCTGCCTGCTTCAGGAGGTCTAGCTTTCCACAGCCGCACAGAATACTCACCACTGTGTTGTTTCACATATCAAGCTCTCCCTTGGTGCTTTTAAAAGCTGATCACTTGCCAGAACTGCATTTATAAAAAACCTTTGTGGGAACTTTGGTTTAAATTACACTTGGACTGAATCATAAAGTAATTCATCAGTAGCTAGAATGCCTAGCATGTGCTAAGTGTGTTCCAGGAAGAAAGCCATGTCAGAGCCAGCCAGTTTGCCCTGTCTTGTTTTGGCCCTCTTTCCTAAGCCCTTGCCTGACTTCTTCAGCTAGAGAGGTTTTCTTCTCCCCACTTGGGGATATAAATGGAGATACTCCTGTGATACAGGCAGCTCCTAGTCAACACAAAAAGAATGCAAATGGTCAGCACAAGTTTAAACAGATGTTTCTTCTCATTAATAGAGTGTGGAAGCTCTCAGCAGTATGAGGAAGGGGTTTGGCAATAAAAACGTGTACCCCTGCCCTGCAGTTATCTTTTTAAAATAACTGAATAGGTGCACAAACTTTCCCCTGTAAGGATGCTTTCAGCAGAATTTGGTGTGGCCTAAAGCAGGGGTTATTCAGGTGAGAGGAGTCCACAGGGCAGGGTGCTCAGATAGGCACTGAGCTGGGGGGCGGGGTGTCCTCACATTCCCTCCCCATCCCCATGTAGGTCATGGAGGGGTCTCTCTCTATCCTTATAAATACTCTTTGAAAAGCAAGTTAGAACAGTAAAATGATAGGTCAAATATGAATTCATTATTGTGTTATCAGCAGTTCCTTTTGGGGATTTCTTTAATCAGCAACCATATATTAAGTTGCCAGAAGACATTCTTAGTAAATAGGAGGCTTTGCCTGAAATACTCAGCAGTGCACAGGAGGCCAGACTTCATACTCTTCCCTGCCAGGCCTCTTCTCACCAAATGGGATTTCGGGCTTTGATGCCATGGTTCGTGAGTCACAAATACAAACAAGAATTTTAATGTAAAGGACGTATATCTGGGGCTTGCAAATCCTTCTGTCTCTCACACAGACAGTGACCCCTAAAAGCTCTCAGATGTTATGAAAACTTGGTTTGTTGCTCATTGTCCCTCCTCCTCCAGAGCTTCATAGCCTTTGCCTCCTCCTGTTGGCTCACTTCCATGAGCTGTCCCTCCCTGCTGATGTCTGTCTTCCCTGTTGGGTGATGAATCTTTAAGGAGAGCAGGCCCTTTTAGCACATGGAGTGGCTCCTTGGCCTACCTGACTAAACCAGTCTCTGCCAGAGGAGCTCAGTTCTTACACTTGTGGTGGGGAACACCTGTCATTGCGGTGGCTCTCCGCTGATGGTGGCTTTTCTCTTCCTTTTAGAGTGCCTGGTGAAGAATGTGATGGGATCAGTAGCATGTCTGCGGAGAGCGGCCCTGGGACGAGATTAAGAAATCTGCCCGTAATGGGGGATGGACTAGAAACTACCCAGATGTCTACAACACAGGCCCAGGCCCAACCTCAGCAAGCCAACACAGCCAGCACCAACCCTCCACCCCCGGAGACCTCCAATCCCAACAAGCCCAAGAGGCAGACCAACCAACTGCAATATCTGCTCAAAGTGGTGCTCAAGACATTATGGAAACACCAGTTTGCGTGGCCTTTCCAGCAGCCTGTGGATGCGGTCAAGTTAAACCTCCCTGTGAGTAGCTTGTGTAGGACCCAGGGTAGCATCCTCCAGGGCCCCTCCTGTACTGCTCCAGGGGAGGACAGACTCTCAGGCAGAGTACAGATACGCTTGAGTTGTGAAAGCATGAGGCCAGGCTCTGAACTCCAGCACCCATGGGGCCTGGAGTGAGTCTTCTCTGCTGTGCTGATGAGTGGAGATAAGGGAGGACAGAGGACATGCTTATTGGTTTAGGCAGTAACTGGTTTCTTAGAGATTAGGATCCTGGGAAATATTGTATAGAGAGCAATTAAAACAAGAGTAAAGGAGTGCTTGCAGTTTTTCTTCCATTCCATGGGGAGTTGAAATGGGAGCACTTGGGGGTTTAGCCATTCTCTTCTCAAGTGCTCCTGACCTGCCTAGGAGAAATAGATGCAATTGGTCAAATCCTGAGGGGGAGGAGGCTGGCTTGCTGCAAGAGCACTCTTCTTTTTGGTACTTGTGCCCTCGTTGTCACCCAGAGCACAGGGCAGGAAAGGTGTAGAGCATTATCTCCCAGGCATTAAGTTCATGGAGGTGGCCTAGCTAGAGGTGGGCTATGGGTACATCTTTGCCCCAGCTGCCCCTTTGCACAGCCTCCTGCCCACCTGCCCCTTCATGGCCACACTGCACTGGCTCTTGTGTGGTGTTTTTGTTTTTGGGTTTTTTTGTTTTGTTTTTGTTTTTGCTTTTGGTTGGGATTTTGTTGTTGTTGTTGTTTTTTTGGGGAGTGGGGTTTGGTACCCCTGCTCCTCTTCTCCCTCTCTCTCTGTTTGCTCACATTCCTAGCAAATTATTCTGGAAACTCAACTTGTATCCCTAACTGAACCTCAGAGAACAAAAGGGCTAAGTGCTTTAATTTTTTTTTCTTCAAGTGCTTTGATTTTTTCTTCTTCTTCAAAGCATCAAGGACTGATTATGATTATCTTTAAGTTGCTCTCTGCTGTTTGCCAAGTCCCACCCCTGCACCCCCCAGACTAGGGATTGGAATTAGATAACTGAGGCAGGGGTTTGTAAATATTAGAGCTATACGGTTATAGGAACCTCAGCCTTGGCCAGGCATCCAGTTTCAAGAAGGATGAACGCACAGGTGTGATTCTCCTGGCTTGAAGACCATTATTTGTGACAATTGTCCAGTGCTATCTGTCCATTGAGTATGTATCATGTGCACTCAGGGGAAGAGAGAGTCATGAGAGGGAGGACACTGCAGGTCTGGGTCAAGAGTTAACTCAGGGAAGGGGCTGGAGGCAAAAGAGGGTCCTCACCAAATTTGGGCTTCAGAGGTCACTCTTGGACATTGACTATGACAAAGAGTAGAGACAGCCAGCCTGTCACTGGAGGGAAGCTCGTGGAAGAGCTTGCTACTCTAGTCTCTGGCTGAACTGGCTGTGTGGGGTCCACAGGTGAGGGTGACCTTCCTGGAACAAATAGAAAATTGGGGGAGAAGCCCTGGGGGTGGAAACCAGATGGGCCTGTGTTTTTAGGGCACTGAAGGGAGGTGGGAACCTGCAAAAGGGAGCCAGGAGACCTGCCAGCGGAGAGCAGTCCCCCCACGTCTCCACATTGGAGGCTGCAGGGGGGGGGGGCCAGAGATGAGGATTCCAACCTGACCCTCCTGTTGGCCTTTAGGAGGGCATTGGTGACCTTAGGAAGATGTGACGCAGAAGTAGAAACCAGATTCGCGACGGTGTGAATGAGAAGGTGAGGATGCGAAGCCATCATTTGAAGAAATTTGGCTTTGAAGGGAAACCCGACAGGATCAGAATGAAGAGGGGGTTGGTTTGTATAGGATGATGCAGAGGGCTGAGGAGGTGAGACTGGCAGGAGAAGAAAAGGTACTGACAGACCTGGGATTTCTAGACAGGAGCATTCCTGCCAGTAGGACAGACATAGGGGAGGTGGTCTCTTAGGTCTATTAGGCCTGTTAGACCAAGGATTCCCTTTGTCTCTGACTGTTGACATCATCCTCAGCAGCTCAGATGTAGGAAGGAGAGATGGGTGGTTAGTAGCACTGATCCAGTATCTTCAGAGAGGTGGGGATAGTGAGGAGCAGACCCAGAGGGACGGGAGTGGGAGAGGGGTGCTGGTTGGCTGGGAGCAATGTCATGCTAAAGCCCAGTTTTGTTGTTTTGTTTTGTTTTGTTTTTTTTTAGGGACACTACCCCTTTCAGGAGATGTTAATAGGGCCTCCCCAATGTGTTTTTTTTTGTTTTGTTTTCAGACATCTTCCAGATCTTTACCTCCAATCTGGCCCCTGGTCCTTGCTAGACAGTTCACTGGGATGCCTATGTCTTTCACATTCAGTGCACATGTATGGTTGGACTGTCGTGCTACTAAACCCACTGCCCCTTTGTCAGTCCTTTCTCCTACCACACCCCTTTTGTCTTAATTCCACCTCTTCCCTCATGCTCTACCCTTAACCACTCCTGTTTGCCCTTGAGCCACTTGACACATCATGCCCACTTCAAGCACCTGACACCATTCTAAGAGACCTCTTGGCCATAAATAAAATCTTAATTTCTACGAGGCAAGATATAGTTGGATTTGGTTCTCTTGGGAGAGGAGATCAGAGCATGGAATAGTGTTGAAAGTCTGGTTCAGTCTCCTCTTTGAGGCCTCCTGGCCAGGGTGCCTGGAGCTGGAATCTGTGTAAGCCGGTAGGTTTTATTCCTTTCTCCTGGGTATTGAGCAACTCAAAAAAATTCACAGTGCCGGCTTGCCTTAGCAATATTGCCCACCACCATTCCTGAGCAGGACCTTGGTGCGTGCTAACACATAGATCTGCCCCTACCATTGGACTTCTACTTGGACTTTGTTCTGATCCCCCATCCAAGCCTAATTCCAGGGTTCTTGGTGGGGCTAGCTGGCTGCATGCAGGTCCCCTGCCTGGTCCTCTGGTCCTTCTACCTGGAAACCCAGGTGCTGCCTTATCTGTCCCCAAATTCTCCCCTTTGGTTGTTTTTGTAGTATTCTAGAGTTAGAGGAAAGCTGTTTGATCTGAAGGGCTTTAGGACATCTGTGCCTGCCATCTAGCTCCTTCTGTTTGGCACTTGTCGAATAAGATCAAAGGGTTTGAGGGGTTGGGTCTGTGAAGGCTGTGCAGATTCCTTATTTGGCAGTTTACCTGTTTAGTTGTTAGTTGTTCCTGGTACTAGTAGATCCTTAGTAGTAGACTAGACTATATACAAGTAAAAGACGTGAAAATGCAGTGAATTTGACTGAAGATGGAGGTCTGTTCCGTGGTTCTTCAATGTGATAGAAAGCAAGGGATCCAGTTTTTAGGGGGGTGGGCTTGACAACTGGAATTTGCATTTTATGGACGCATAAAATTTCACATTATGGAGAGAAAATAGCACCTGCCATAGGTAGTTTTACTAAATAGGAACTGCTTTTTAAAGTCTGTATGTTCTCCCCATTATTTATTAAAAATGGAAGGTTATTTTAACATCCCCCCACCACCACAAAAAAAAAAGATCTCAGTGAAGACAAACGGTTCCCAGATGGGGCAGTTGGCAAACTTGAATGTTTTTTGTACAAATTAACTTCCCGGCATTTGGGAATCCTTCCCTGGTCCACTTTATACCCGGGCCCCTTTGAGATCGCTCACTGGCTCCATGGAAGAGTTTCAGGCTGTCTGTCTGTGGAGTGACCTGGAGTGAAATCTGTAGGTCCACCTACAAGTACTGTGTGACTGTGGAGGTGACACTGGCCTTTTGCTCTCTCTGCTCTCCAGGATTACTATAAGATCATTAAAACACCTATGGATATGGGAACGATAAAGAAGCGCTTGGAAAACAACTATTACTGGAATGCTCAGGAATGTATCCAGGACTTCAACACTATGTTTACAAATTGTTATATCTACAATAAGGTGAGATGTGGGGGCCAGTGTACAGCTGCCCTATGGGGAGGAAAAAGAGGCGGATATGTTTGGAGTCCTTGGGCAGGGGTGCTGGAGCAAATTGGAGTCTGACAGAGGAGACTGTTAGAGGCAAGGGTAATGGAACCTGCAGTCTTGCCTGTGGCTGGCTGTGTTTCTTTTGCGGGGGAGAGGGGTGTTGCCATGTTTTACTTCTCAGCCATCCTTGTTAGCTTGAAGGATGTGCTCCTTATGCGTTTGGTATTTTAGTTTTTGACTATGTATAGTAGAGAAGGATGGAAAAAACAGTGACGGCTCATTAAAAAGTCCATTTGGGTGATGTAAATTGTCAGGAAGAAGGCTACTGAAATGTAGTTGTACAAAGGTGTGCTCAAACGAAAACATCAATATGAGAGAGGGGGTGATGGGGCCTTATCTGGAACTGTGAACATAACCATTGTGAACTTGTGGCCGTAGAGTCAAGTGTCCCCGATCTTACATGTAGACCTGAAGATTGCTTCTTAACCCAATAGCCAAACCTTTCGGCTCGGCTGTGCCATGAAGCCGATCATTTGTTTACAGTTCAGACCACAGATGTGATTAAAACCAACCCTTTCAAATAGAACGGCCCTGGAGGGAGACACTATACAGAACTCAGCTTTTGACCTCTGCTGATGTAGTGGGTAAAATTGCCCAGAAGAGATGGGTAGGTGAGTTTCTTGAAGTTTATTGCATTTTTAAAGTCTCAGCCTTCACCACTAGATTTAAGTGAAATGTGCACAGATGAGAAGGTTCTCAGTTTAGAGCTGAGTGGGAACAGCATGTTACAGATGAGGGGAGATTGGGGGGACCCATAAGGCATGGTGAGATAGGCATTGCTTAGAGCCCCAGGGAGCTGCCTTGGGCATACACTGGGGAGCATGGTTGGAGCCCTGCTAACATACCTGTAGCAAGAAATCCTGTGTGATTTCAAGTGTATCTAGTGAATTGAATTGTGTCAGGAAAAGGTCCCTGTCTGTTGGGCAGATTGTTAGATGTTTAAGGCATTAGGATGGTTTCTCAGATGGTCCAGAGTTTAAGAGACTAGAGAGGGAGGTGCTGACTCAGCACATCTGCAGGCACATGAGACTGTGATGCCGGGTGTGGGCTTTTGGGGTTCAGCTCGAAGACCCTGAATATGATGCTTCATGATTTAGGGCAAAGGTAGGTGGCACTGTGTGGGGAGCATTTGCTCTGCTTAGAAAGGTGGGGGGCTTTCTGACCCTCACCTCACTTGTCTCCTCTTCCAGCCTGGAGATGATATAGTCTTAATGGCAGAAGCTCTGGAGAAGCTCTTCTTGCAAAAAATAAACGAACTGCCCACAGAAGAAACGGAGATCATGATAGTCCAGGCAAAAGGAAGAGGACGTGGGAGGAAAGAAACAGGTAGGGAACCCCCAGTACTGTTCACCTCACACTGAAAAAGCAAGGAAATGGCTTTATTTCTCCCCAGTGCTTGCTCTTCTCCACCTCCAATGGAGGACTAGGAGTGATAGGAAGATGGCTGTTGTTTGGATGCAGTGGGGCCAGGTTCAGTGGTAGATCTGTCCCTCAGGATTCCATGACTACATGACCCTCCCCTAAAGTAGAAATAACAGCCCTGCCTTTTTAAAAATATGTGAATTCTTTACCCTGGCAGTGCCATAGATAGTCGATGCTTTTCCATTTTAGAGAAAAGAAATGAACTTGACCAAAGGCAGTTTTAACTAATACCCAATCCTAGAGCCTTGGGGGTTTGTTTTGTGAATTGTCTTAATGTGCTGGTATTGGACCCATGCCTGCTTTTTGGTGCCCCATCTTTGAGCCTGCCTTGTCTATGTCCGTGCCCATCCTTGCCTTTGGCATCTTGCTGTTCACAGCTCCATGTTGCAGAACGGTGATGTTTGCAAGGTGGCTGTGCTGTGAGCTATGTGCTTCTCTCAGGAGCTGGTTTTCACCTTGCTTTCCACCCTGCTCAGAAGTGATGGCTTCATGGGAATGAAGTCAGTCATCTGCCCTATAGTACTAAGGGGTAGCCAAAGAGAGCTAGTCTTGAGTCACCCCATAGCCACTGAGCCTGCCAAGAGGTGTCTGATCTACTTTCAGCCAAGGAGCCCCGCTCTCCCTCCCTGTTATCATGAGTTCAGTCTGCACATGGGGCAGGTGTGGGGCCTTGTGTGTCCAGGGCTTCCCACACAGCTGCAGAGAGACAGCAGCCGACCAGTTTCCCTGTGGCTCAGGGAGGTGGGGGCTTGCCAGTTTCCAGAAACCTTGACCATGGCTTCCAATGCCCACCCCCACCAGGAACATTTACTCAGAGGAAATGCTTCTGGGAATGAGAACAGTGCTGCCTGAAGTTGCCAAGAAACATTTATACATTCTTCATCTACAGTCCTGGACGCTCAGCATGTGTTGCTTCCTCCTTCAGCCCCGGCCTTCCCCACCCCCTCAGGCAGGGTCTTTGTACCCACGTGGGTACTTGCAGCCAGGACTCGTAGGAAATATGGATGCACTATCCCATCACTGTTGAAGCACCCTGGGCAGGTCAACAGACTTAGCTGAGGTCCAGGGTATTTGAGCTATTCTCCCAGGCAAATAGTTATGGTGACACTGTGTTATGCTTATGAAGATGTTGCTTGCCACATGTGACAGTGTCCCCACAAGCTCAGCTTGCATGTGTCGGGTGCAGCATCTAACCACCAGTCCCTTTTATGTTGGTAGGGACAGCAAAACCTGGTGTCTCTACGGTACCGAACACGACACAAGCATCAACTCCTCCGCAGACCCAGGCCTCTCAGCAGAACCCTCCGCCTGTGCAGGCCACACCTCACCCCTTCCCCACCGTCACCCCAGATCTCATTGTCCAGACCCCTGTCACAGTGGTGCCTCCCCAGCCACTGCAGACTCCCCCACTGGTGCCCCCCCAGCCCCCACCCCCCCCAGCCCCCCAGCCTGTGCAGAGCCATCCTTCCATCATCGCAGCCACCCCACAGCCTGTGAAGGTGAGTGTTCCTTGTATGCTTGTGTGTGGCCTGATCACTGACAGGTTCCTGCCACCTCAGCTAGCATTCCCACCCCTACCACTTGATCTGTAGCAGTGAGTTTTGCAAAAGATGGTTACCCATCCTTGCCAGTGCTTTATGCAGTCTTTCCTTGCTCCCAAAGGATGGCAGTGGGGGGAGAATTATGCTATGTTTAAGTCAGCACAGCCCAGAAGCTGCTGCCCCAGAGATTCCATGATGGAGACACTCCCCCGGGGTTGTTGGCCCCTCTTGTTTCTGATTTAGACCATGCATGTTGGCAGGGACTGACTTAATAGTTTCTGAAACATGCCTTCCAAAGTGCCCTGCTGGTAGGCTTGGCTCAGGGTGGGGACCACCCCTGGCATTGAGTAGGAAGCTGCTTTATGAGGTTTTGTTGGCCTTTGGTGCACAGATACCAGACTTGGTGGTGCATGTTCTCCTGCCCCTGGCAGAGCCTATCCCAACTACAGAGCAGAGTGGTGGGGCAGAGTCTCCTTTTGCTCAGGAGGGTTGGGGCCATAGGAAAGACCTGGCCTCAGCAATGACTTCAAGGGCTTGCTTTGCGGGCCACACCCATGACCGTGCTCTCTTGCCTGCACTCTTGGCAGACAAAGAAGGGTATTAAGAGGAAAGCAGACACCACCACCCCCACTACCATTGACCCCATTCATGAGCCACCTTTGCTGCCCTCGGAACCCAAGAACACCAAGTTGGGCCCCCGGCGAGAGAGCAGTCGACCTGTCAAGCCCCCAAAGAAGGATGTGCCTGACTCACAGCAGCACCTGGCACCAGACAAGAGCAGCAAGGTTTCAGAGCAACTCAAGTGTTGCAGTGGCATCCTCAAGGAGATGTTTGCCAAGAAGCATGCAGCCTATGCTTGGCCTTTCTACAAGCCTGTGGATGTGGAGGCTCTGGGACTTCACGACTACTGTGACATCATAAAGCATCCCATGGACATGAGCACAATCAAGGTGGGTGGGTGGATGGGCTTGCACCCATGAGACCAGGGGGAGACCCCAGAAATGTGCCCCGGCAGCTCTCTAGGTTCTTCACCAGCCAAAAAGAACCCAGCTCCCCCTGCTGGAACTGTACAAACATGTTCCCAAACAATGTGGCAGTTTTGGTCACAGATAGCAGTGCTGTCCCCTGGTCTCAGGAGGAGCCCTCTTTGACCTTGAGTCCCAATGCTGCTGACTGGCACTTTGCATATGGTAGATGGTCGGAGAGTGTGGGGGTTACTGACTTTGCCACTCTGTTATGGGGTGGGCCTTGCTGTCTTCTCTCAGTAGAAGGCACATGACAAGTGCTGGCATTTGCACTGTCATATTCTGAGGCCTTTTGGTTTTATTTTAAGCTTTTTTTGCATATTTCTTCTGCAAGTGGGAATAAGCTTGCCCATACATGGGATGGGCACAACGGGGGAGGGTGCTCTGCTCTTTTTGACCAGTGTTCTGTCCTGTATCACCAGACAAGTGTACACCTGGTCAGAACTAGACCCAGTCCTCCCTTTTCAGTTCTGGCTTAAGCTCTGCCTCTGGATTCTGTGTCCACGTGACCCTTAGGCACAGTGACCCCATGGGTGGATTTGCATTCTGGCAGCACTTTGTGGCCCTGAGAATTGCTGTTGTCTCCCTTTCCACCTGACACTGAGAACTAGGACGTTGACCTCTCTCCCGTGGCCTGGGATAAATCCCAAGCCCCTGAGGCAACAACTTGCTCCAGCTAGCAACCCTCCCTGTTGCCTTCTTCCGGCCAACAGAGGCAGACACAGCCTGTCTTGTCTTTTCAGTCTAAACTGGAGGCCCGTGAGTACCGCGATGCTCAGGAATTTGGTGCCGATGTCCGATTGATGTTCTCTAATTGCTACAAGTACAACCCTCCTGACCATGAGGTGGTGGCTATGGCCCGAAAGCTCCAGGTGAGGCTCTGGGAAGCTCCTGGGCAGGCCAGGCCTCTGCGGCTCTTGGCAGATTTTATCTCTAGCCTCCTCACCAGTCTTGCTTTGGTGTAATGCCACCTTGCTTTGGAATAGTGGACTCAGAATCTAACACCTACATTTCACGTTGGGATTATGCAGGGGGGTTGGTTTAGGTTTTGATCTTGGACATTTTGGGTTTTGGGGTGTCCCATTGAAAGCCTCTCCCCACCACCACCACCTGCATTTGGTTGCCCTTGATCAGAAGAGCATGTGTGCTGTGCATGGCCCAATCTCTTCTGCAAAACAGACCTGTCTCAAGTCAGCGGGGGACACTCTTGCCAGGTAGACACATTGTCACAGTTGTGATCTAAAGTAGCTGCTTGACTGTGGACATTTCTTCACTATAGCCCTGAAGCCTTGGTTTGCCCTCCAGCTGCAGGGCAGCTGCTTCTAGAAGTTTCTTGTGTCCATGATGCCCTAATGGATGGTCCCTTCACTTGGATCCTGGACTGTGCACACTATAGATGTTGGGGTGAGGGTGGGGCAGATTAGTATAAGTCAACACTATTATCTTATTTTTTTTTTGAAGGGAAACATATCCACATGTCAACAGTTACCCTTGACTAGAAAGATGAGGGGGGTTAAAGTAATTAAAAAAAAAAGATGAGGCGTTAAAAATTATGGAGAATAAAAGTCAATATTTAGTACTGTTAATAATCTGTCTTTTTTTTTTTTTTTTTTAAATCTTTAAAACCATACATATAAAGCTCCAGGTTGCTTCTGCTTTCAGGGTTAGGCACAGCAGGCTCTGGGCAAGGCTACCTGCCAGCACAAGGTGCAGGTGCTCTGGCTGTAGCTGAGGTCTATTTAGCACATCCCACATCTGGTGGCTGGATGGAGCTTCCTCACACTTGTCTTTTCCAACCACCCTTGAAATCCTTCCAGGGCAGAAGTCAGGGACTTCGGCGACTTGAGGGTCCATTCCAGGTAGAAGGTCACCTGACCCTTGCTGCTGCCAGTCTGCCTTCCAGCTGTGTTAGCTCTGCATGTTGTTTCACACTCACCACCATAGTGTCTCCTACCTTCTCCCAGGAGCCAAATCACAGTCTTCATTGTTCTTTAACTTGGCCCCTGACCAAGTTAGGGGCTGCCTTGGGTTCAAAAGATGTGTTCTGAATACTTAGGGTAGAAAAAATCTTATTAGTGTGGAGGCTCTAATTTTATTAGTGTGGATCTGGCTATTGGTATTTGAACACATAAAGAGACTTGAAGGTTTTTAATTTCCGCTGCTGTTTCTTAGTTTTATTTTGTCTTAGGTTTTCAGGGGGCAGGGGGGCTGTCTTTATTTGGTGCTGTCTATTGGCTTTCTTCGCATTGCTGCTGGTTCACCAATTGGCATCTAAGGAGTTCAGGCTTTATCATTTTACTGCAATTCTCATACATGATCACCAGGTGGCAGTGGTGCCCTTGGTGCTGCTCCTTGGACACCCCCACCCCCTCCCTCCTTGGAGGACTGAGTGGCAGCCAGTTCTTTTGCCCTGGTTGATACCCATACTCTTTATTTGCCCTTATGCAAACAGATAAAACAAGTTCTCTGCCAGCACCAAAGATTGCTGTTTGTAGCAGTTTTATTTTAAAAAGAAGAAAGTATCTAATATATTCTAGCTTTTTGTCTTCCTAATTTTTTGTTAGTTTTACATGGTTTTTTATTGTTGTTGTTGCGTATTTTATTGTTGTTCTCGGAGTGGCATGAGCATGCCTAAACGTGGGGTTTACCTACAGTGAGGCCACTGATTACCACACAGCAGCTTCTTTCTATACATTGACCCCAAATACCAGGCTGGGGTGGATGGGGCAGTACTTAGGTGGGCAGCTCAATGTGAGACCACCTCCACCCCCAGCCTGCTTTGCCTGCTGCAAGGTGTGGGTCATCTTATTACTGAGAGTTACATACCAGGAGGAGGATAAGGGTCTCTGCTGAATGGCAGAATTAAAGTGGTAAGCTCCCTGTGTTGGTTTCTCTCTGGAAAACAGTTGCTGTGTTTATGGCATTTGGGGCTTTGTTTTCTTCTTTTTCTCTAAGCTCTCCTGGATCAGCATGGTTTAGACAACTGGATTCCTCAGCAAGGAGAGAAAGGAACAAAGCCCAGCCCTTGTTTGCTGCTGTAAGAGGTCTTGGGACCTATTGTCTCTTTGTTAGGCAGTACCCAAGGACTGGGGTTGACCTGGGAAGTGTGATATGGCAAAGGGTGTACTTCATTTTTCTCTTCCAGCCTCTAAAATTCTGGGCTTTGCAGCCATGGTCACAAACCCCTGGACTCAAGGCTTCCTAAGGAGCCTGGGGTGCTTTGGAACCAGAGCTGCTGGCAGTACTTCCCCCTAACCTCTGTTTTGTTGTGAAGTGACTAATTTAGGAAGTTTGGTGCCCATGAGGATTACCAGTTTATTTCAGGAAAAGTGCAAATTCAAGGTAGTGTGAAATTGTTTTATAGTAAGGAAAAATTGAACTGAAAAGTATTGGGATCTTGCATTTCAAGAGGGACAGAAACAGGAAGCTTTTTAAGGGGTGGGTATATGTCTGAGTATCTTCCACTCATGGCTGTGTCCCCAGCACCTGACGTGTAGTGGGTTTCTTGGTGACTGCATTTCATCCCTCTCTTCATGGCTGATATGCCTCGGGTATGGCCAAACCCCACAGCAATATCCAGGTTTGGTTGGGAAAGGGCTGGGCCTCTGTCATCTGAGGGTCTCCAATTGCACTTGCTTTAGGTGAATTTACTTGGGGGTCTTTAGGCACTGTGACCTCCCAGCATCTAAACATCTCTGTTTCACTAAAAGGGGGAGGGCATGCTTCTCTGTGAATCTGATACAGCCTGATGTAAGTGATCCTGGTCAACATTCTAGTGAGAGAGGTATTTGCGCTGAAACTAGTGTGGTTTGCTAGTGCAAGAATCATCATGTGGCCCAGATTCTCCAGGTGGGTTACAGGTGACGGCATGCTGGGCAGGGAAGCTGGGTCTACTTTGAGACCCACCAGGATGAGTGCTGCCACACATTTTCAAAGCAGCTACAACCTGTGGAAAAGAGACAGGGACATTCTTATAGCAAGGGTAGTGCTGCCTGGCAGCTGGCAGGGGAGTCTGGGCCAACAAGTGGCATGAAGCAGCTCCTACTTTTAGTAAAAGGCCACCTCTCAGCAGCATCTAGTGCTGGGCACTGCCTGCCATGACTACCTTCATGGGATCCTGATGCCCTGACACCTTCTTGGACACACTTCTCTCACCTAACTGCTGCTTCTTGGCAGCAGGCCTAAATCTTCCAGATGTTTGTGGGTCACCCAGGGACCTGAGCCTGCCCACATCCAGGATACTGTGGGACAGAGGGTCTTTCTCACTGCCCTACTGGGGTCTCTGCTCTGGTGTGAAGCCCCCTCTCCTTGGCAGCTGGGGTGGTGGTCTCTGGTTGCTCTTTCTGTCTTTTCTGTAGCCCTTAGACCCGCTTTAGGATTTCTCTCTGAATAAATTAGAAAGGTGTTGTCCTTCTAGTACGTAACAGCAAAAGCACTCAGACAGGAGAGCCCAGGCCTTGCTGGAGAAGGAGCTGCTTTGGGAGGCAGTACTGGGTGGTCTGGAAGGGAAGGGATAGCACCTCAGTTATGTGGGATGCCTGCCCTGCTGCCCTGGGGGAGGGGAAATCTGAAGCTGTGTTTCCCGAGGGCTTCTAGAGCTGTCTCTGTCAAGTGTGCACCAGTTTGAAACAGCAGTCTTGGGGCTCAATCCCCTGGGCCTCCTAGGCTACATTGCTCTCTGGCAGATCAACTCACACTTGAGGAAGACCCTTTTTGTCCTGTAAGGTATTATGTTAACTGACTTACGCCAGGCTTAAAGCAGATCCCAAAGTCCTGGTGGGATGCCAGCACTATTCCTTCCACTGCTACCCTGTCCTGAGTCACTGGATTTACTATAATGAAACCCTTAAGGTAGGGAGGGACCTGCCAGCTAGTTAGTGAGTCAGCACATAGCTGGACATCCCCCCTCCCCCAGGTGCCCAGGCTCCATAACCTCACAGTCCCATCAGATTTCTGGATCTTAGAGTTGGATGGTCTCGGTCTCCTGGGGTGGGATATCAAGTTCAGTAGTCCTGTGGCCTCTGCTCAGATTGCTTACACCTCACAAGGCTGGCACCCTCCTATAGCGTGTTCTCATCAGCCCCACACCTGCTATCCTGTACTTTACTCGCCTTGCCTGGTATGTCCTGGAGACACTTGAGCCAGTGGCATGGCTCTGCTCAGCTGTGTGCCCCAGTAGTGATCTGATGAATGGGGAGGCAGACACAGACCCATGCCTGCTGCAACGGCAGCTTGGCCCCGTCACTGGCTGAGGGCTCTGTGCTGGTGCACTTTCATGCAGGGCTTTTGCACATGCTGTTTCCTCTGCTTGGTATGCTCTCTAAAATTGCAGACCTCACCTACTCCCTGCAGGAATGTGAACTAGAGGTGGGCAGAGTCTCCTGTTCTGCTCACTGTTATGATCTGGTACTCAGTCCTGATATTCAGAAGCTTCCTTTGGGATGTGCTGATTGTGCACCAACCTGATGGGAGCCTTAAGTTCAAGTTCAGTAGGTCCTGCCCTCAACCCACCATTTATCAAGAATCCCTAGATTAATGTCCTCAGTGGGCAGCTGCCTCCTGTGCTCTATGTCACCTGTCCATATCTGGGTGGTGTGTGAGGAGCACCTTTTTCTCACTGTGAGATTTGAGAGAGGAGTGTTGGGATTGGTGTCAGGACCTAGCCAGCTTCTTAGCTTGGTGGTATAGAGTTACTGTTGATGAAGCTCTCTGATCCTTCCACCACTTATTGAGTTGACTCCAGCAGCCAGTGAGGTTCTGGTGCCACTGGGCCAAAGATTGGCTACCCTCCACGCACATGTCTGGGGACCCAGCAGCCCTGGAGGGCCCAGCTTTCCCCACCCACACCTCCCCACCCCCCAGGATGTGTTCGAGATGCGCTTTGCCAAGATGCCAGACGAGCCTGAGGAGCCCTTGGTGTCTGTGTCCTCCCCTGCGGTGCCACCCCCCACCAAGGTTGTGGCCCCACCCTCGTCCAGTGACAGCAGCAGTGATAGCTCTTCAGACAGTGACAGCTCAACTGATGACTCTGAGGAGGAGCGAGCACAGCGGCTGGCGGAGCTCCAAGAGCAGGTGAGGGCACAAGCATCCCCATCCCCAGTCTCCTGGAATCTATGGACCGGGCAGTTTCCCTAGAGATTTCACAAGATTGTCGTGGCTCTGAATCCTGGCAGGAACAGAATTCCAGTGGTGCCCTTGTGAAAGGTCACAGGCATATGAACATAATGTATTCAGCATGTGGAGGAGGAAAGAAATGGCTGCTCTTTGGGTAGAGGCAAGGTTTCTGGAGCTTTCCAGTGTCTGGATGGAGGCTAACTAGATTTTTTCATCTCCCTTGGGGCTGTATGGTTGCTCTCTGCTCCCTGCAATCTGGCCGTTAGGCCCTAGTGCCAACATGGGTTCACACCTCTGCCCAGTTTCCTCGGGATCCTCATTTTGGGTCCAGGATGGCCAGAGGGCTTAGCATCTGTCAGTTTAGGTGGCTCCTCTGGGCAGCTTTGGAGTCCAGGGCCTGGGTGGGCATGAGTACTTTGGAAATCTGATGAGGTGGCAGGTCACAGAGCTAAGTACCAGCCCCCTCCTTCATCCCTGGGCCCTGATGTTTGGGGTTCCTGATCAAGACCAGGTTGACAGGCGTGTGTTTTGCCTGTATGCTTCATAGCTCAAAGCCGTGCACGAGCAGCTTGCAGCCCTCTCACAGCCCCAGCAGAACAAACCAAAGAAAAAAGAGAAAGATAAGAAGGAAAAGAAAAAAGAAAAGCACAAAAAGAAAGAGGAAGTGGAAGAGAATAAGAAAAGCAAAGCCAAGGAACTTCCTCCCAAAAAGACCAAGAAAAACAACAGCAGCAACAGTAACACAAGGTCTGTGCCACCCGAATTCCCTGATGGGGACATAGCCTGCCCCCAGCCAGGGGTTGTGATCGTCTCTGCCCTTCTCCCAGGGATGAGCAGTCACCAGGTTTGGGGTGGGAGGGAGGATGGTAGGTAGCATAGTACAGACAGCAGGGACAGGCCACAGCAGCCCCCATTTCCTGTGAAGATCAGCAGGGTGGAGATGTGGTGGCCCCTCAATTCCCCCAGTGAAGGAGAATGAGTGCCCAGCTTCCCAGGGCACCTATTCCTGACAGCATCTGCATTATTCCTTCGTAGCAAGAAGGAGCCAGCACCTGTGAAGAGCAAGCCCCCTCCAGCATATGAGTCAGAGGAGGAGGACAAGTGCAAGCCTATGTCCTATGAGGAGAAGCGCCAGCTCAGTCTGGATATCAACAAGCTCCCGGGTGAGAAGCTGGGCCGAGTGGTGCATATCATACAGTCAAGGGAGCCCTCGCTTAAGAACTCCAACCCTGACGAGATTGAGATTGACTTCGAGACACTGAAGCCATCCACCCTGCGGGAACTGGAACGCTACGTCACCTCCTGTTTGCGAAAAAAACGGAAACCTCAAGGTGCCCTTGGGTCCCCCTGGGGCTTGGGGGTGTCCCAGCCAAGGGAGGGTTGACCAAACTGCTTACCCCTGCCTTTCTGTCAGGAAGGCTCCTATGGGAACCTCAGGTGACTCTCTTTCAGACTTGGCTTTTTCTCTGATGATAAAAATCTGTGTCCTTGACATGACACCTCTGGAGGATTGTCACATGGCACTGAACCTTAGACTGTCATTGCCTTTCTTGACCTCTCTGGCTGGTTGCCATCTGGGGCCCACCTGCATGGCGGTGTCCTCAACCTTGTTCTGAGCAGCCCCTACCATTGAGTCTCTCCCCACCTACCACCACCACCAAAAAAAAAGTCACACACGCACACAAACCTTTTTGGTGCCTCTGAGGGTTGAGTCTGGGAGAGAGGCCTGAAGGCAGCTCTGCACTTGCCTCCCAGTCTTTACCTCGGTGGGGCCCCTCTCTGGGTCTTCCAGGCAGCCCTTTTGTGTTACAAGTGCCTCATCTTGCCTCAGCTTTTGTCTTAAGAGTAGTAGCACTTAGGATCCCTATCAGCACATTGTACATAGTCTTCACCCCAGTCCAGACTGACTCCAGGGGTCTTTGGGTCCTCTTTACCCACTGCCTGGAAAGTTGCTGAGTGAGCCCTAGCCTTTCAAAGGGAAAGCCCTCTTGTCTGTCTCTTATTCCTGATGAACTCTGTAGAAGGGATTCTGAGAGATTGGCTGGGCGGGGGGCGGAGATGGCAGCTTAATAAGCTGAGTTTTTAGCAGGCAGTAGGCTAACAACACTGAAAAGCATGGGGCTGATTGGCATTTTAGACACCACCAGGAGCAGTTCTCTGGTTCATAGGGTACAGACTGCCTTCAGGCCTTTCCTCCAGAGGTATGCCTGGGTTTAGAGCAGCCCCCGGGTTGGGTCCTGCCTGACACAGTTCATGTTGCTTTACTGCAGCCGAGAAAGTGGATGTGATTGCTGGCTCCTCCAAGATGAAGGGCTTCTCATCCTCAGAGTCTGAGAGTACCAGCGAGTCCAGCTCTTCTGACAGTGAAGACTCCGAAACAGGTTAGGGTCCTACTTAGCATCTTGTTACACATCCGCATGTATTCGAACCAGTCATCCTATGTCCCAGTTGCTAGAGACCAGATATGATGGTCATAAGAACTATCTGACCACCGTTTTAACACTCTTAACTAAAGTGGTGGTAGCCCAGCACCGTTTTCTCTCCCTCATGGCCTGGGCTAAGAGGAGGGTATTGACACTGTATGGCTGGGGTGGGGGGTACTGGTGAAGACATTGGGCACTGAGGCCCAGGTGTTGGCACTGATCCTAGTGTAACCATGCCCAGTCTGTCATCTTCCCTGCATCACAGTCACATACAGTATGGCTGTCCCAGGTGATACACTTTGGCAGGGATGGAGCAGCCTACTGTGGGCCCTTCTGTCACCAGGCTCAGGGCACTGCCATCCTCCCCAGAGCATGCTCACTGCTGTGTTCACAGCTCCTAACTCTGGTCACACTTGGACATGCGTGTCCTGTGCCTTTTAACAGTCCTTGTCTTTGTGCTCCATGGGGCCTGCACGTGTGCCCCACATGAGCAACAGCTTCAGAGTGGGAGGTGGGTCGGGTAGAAATGCCGGGAGCTGCACAGTGGTGGAAAGAGGGCCTTCCTCCAGCTATGTGCTTTCCTGGTGATACTCCGGAGCAGAAGCTCAGACTGGCCCAGAGAGACTAGAGAAGAAGCCTGGCGATCAGACCATGCTATAAGGTAGAGCCAGCTGTTTCCACAGGGTGGCCTCTGGGAGGTCTAGTTCAATCAGCTGAGCAGACAGGTCTGTAGACTGCCTGAGAGCTGGTCCTGGGGGCCTAAGCATGTTGCTCTAGGCAGGCAGCAGTATGCATGTCTATAGTAGGGAATATATTTGGGCAACAAAGCGTGTTCTTTCATGGACCTGTCCTGTCTCTGGTATTTTCTTCTGACTAAATGAATCATAAGCTCCGCTTGACCATTTCATGTAAATAATGTGACCTGGTGAGGTTGAGGATCACTTACAGCAGCTGGGAAGAGTGATACTGCTCCCAGGTGCCATGCACAGGTTCTCGTGTGCACTCAGCCTGCCTCTGGGGACCAGGGGGCTCTGAGCCTTGTCACTGTTCCTCATTCCTATTGCAGTAAGGGCACCAGACTTCCCAAGTGAGTGGAGGGCTCACCTGTGGAGGGGTGGGGGGGGACACTGAAGGCTTCTCTAGGACTCCAAATAAATGCTGAATTACCTCATTTTTAGTGGGCCCAAATGAGATGAAATTTCCCAGTGTATATACAGTTTGCCTGCTGCCTCTGTCACTAGCCTTGACCTGGTTTTTTTTCCCCCCCTTTCTAATCCTCTCACCCCCACCTACCTCACAGCTTTGGCTTTTTTTTTGTTTGTTTTTTTAATCCATCTGCCAGCAGGGGGTGCCATGCCTCCATGCCTGCCCAGAAGGGCTGCCTTGCCAGGCAACTGCCCTCTGCAGGGTGAATGGCTGTATTCTTGGGTCCAATTAGCATTCCTGATAGCAGCTGACTTCTCACTTTGGGTGCCAGCCACACCTTGGGTTTACTTTCACCCTGGATTTGCTAGTGGGCTGCTCCTTCTAGGGGGTTCACAGCCTTTCTCCTAATCTTCATGGCCAAAAGAAAACAGTAAAGGCTGAAAATGGCATGGGACCTGGTCATTCAAACAGGGTAGCTTAGCTGAGGGTGAACTGCTTTTGCTGATGTGGCACTTTAGAGGACTGTGACTGTGCCCTTTGCCCCTGGCCCCCAAGCTCTGCAGGACAGCTCCAGGGTTCCTGAGTGCTCTGCTTGCTTCTGACTTTGTTGGGTGGCTGTGACAGCATTTCCAATAGCTCTCTGCTGCTGCCAACATGTTTTTCTTTATTTTTTCACATTTTTTTCCTCTTTTAAATGAATTGGAAAGATTGTGCAACAAGTAATCTGAGAGTCCTGGGAACAGCTGTCTTGGCGGGAAGGAGGGTGAGATTTACAGTATCTGCGCTACCGGCCTGCGGGCCCCAGGCTCTGGCAATTCGGCCGACTTCAACTTGTTCTTCTCCCCATGTGCCCTCCCCACCTTGGGTTTTGTAAGACTTCCTTTGGTCTTTGTGGTCCTGGCTTTTTCTTTCCTATCATTTTGCACTGGAAAGCTCTGTCTTGGGCTAGCAGGGGCTGCTGCTCTCAGGAAGGACCTACCCTGTGGGTTTGCACCCTGTGCCTCAGGCACTCTGAGGTAGGAGCCTGTGACCCTGCACCACTGACTGCAGCCATTGCCACCCAGCCCTCACAGGAAACTGCATTCGCTTCCCCAGCGGCTCCTCCAGTAGCTTCCCTGGCTGCAGGGTCCATGCAGGTGGTTCTGCCTTGGTGGTGGGGGGTGGGCAGTGTCAGGATGAGGGGTGGACATTAGAGGTATTTTCCTTGGTCTCTTGGAACTTAAATTGTTTTTCCCTCCTTGTTCTTGTGTTTCCATTTGGATTGGAGCCAAAATTCCTGAATGGGCCTATTTTTGTCAGTCGTATTAAGTAAGGGTCAGTTCTGCCGACGCAGCCGCAAGACAAGAATCACCAAAAGAAACCGAACAGAGGCACTAAATTGGGGTTGGGGGTTGTTAGTGTGGACCCCTTCTGGCCACTGTTCACAGACAAGGATTCCGATGACAACTAAAGCACGGGGCTAGTCCTCAGGGTCATGTTGCAGTTCAGGGAAGCAGCAGGCTCACAGGGTAGGAGGTAGGGGGCAGATACTGCTTTCCCAGCCCAGTCCTAGGCCACCATGTGTTCCCCTGCTTAGCAGCATGCAGTGCTATTGGCCTGTTCCACCACATTCTCTGAAACCAGCTCTACTTGGGTTGTAGTCTTTTATTTAAAAAAAAAATTCTGGCTAAAAAGATCTGCTTGAGGGTTTAGTGTTGGGAGGACAGGGTGGGTACAAGGGAGCCAACGTCCCACTGCCCCTAAAGCATCTGTAGACCTTAGCTGAGCAAGCTAAAAGTGCCCTGGTTCCTCCTTTCTACAGCTGTTCAGGTGGGCTGTGGGCAGAGCTGTGGCCTCCCTGTCACCAGTGCTGGGATCATGTTTACCTGGCTCATGGGGCCAGGGATGTCCTAGGATTCTTCTCCATCACATTGCTGTTGCCTGGCTCTTTCTGGGTAGTGTCCCTCTTAGGAGCAACCACCTGTCCCTAGCTACCTGGGCCGGGACCTGGGTTCAGGGAAGTTTGAAATGGTTCTCTTGGACTTGGCCTAGTCTTCTAGTTGCAGCACACTCCAGCTATTTTAGTCTCCTTGTTTCCTTTTCCCAGGATTGGAACATATGGGTATTTTTTAATAGCTCCAGAGAGGAAAGGAATGCTTCATGTTTTGGAAAGATTTGAGCTGGAAAGTGCAGACGGAGGCCATGGGGCATTCTTCCCAGACAACCAGCCTCAGCTTCTGACCCACAGGGTCTCTGAGGGACTTGGTTCCAGTCTGTTCTTGAGGCCTGATGCTGCCCAATCCAGAGGTGTTCCACTTTGCTCTCAAGGACAGGAAGAGGCCCCTGGTGGGGGTGGGAGAATAAGCAGAGGCCTGGAGGGCGGGGCTGTAACCCATCTGCTCACGCTGCCGAGTGACCCCTCATATACCCACATGCAGTTGGTGGGATTCTGGGCGGGACTAGCCTTGTGGAATGTGCCCTGACTGAGAGGCTGGCCAGTGGGCGGGTTTTTCCCATGCATGCCCTGAGGGACCATGGGAATGCAGTCAGTGTCAGTGTATCCGTGACTTCAGCAGAGGCATCTGCTGCTGTGTGGGTGGGAATGACCCCATGCCTCTCCCTGGTCAAGGGGAGCTGAATTCCATGCCCAGGAAAAAGAAAGGACAACTTTCCTCCTCAGCCTGTTTTGTTTTATTTATCTCCCCTTAATAGTGTCTGTAACTGATTTCTCTTTTTATAATTTCTTTTTTGTTACTTGGGGTTTGTAGGAATGCAGAAGTGAGGTGTTAGCTGTAAGTCCTACAGACTTACCTGAGATCCCCTTTTTTTCCTCCACCCAAATCCTAAGGGAGGACTGAATCACCTTCCTGAAATGCAGGGTGCAGCAGAGCAGACCCAGGGGGATAACCTCAGAGTCAGTGGGGCCTGGTGGCATGGCACATCAGGCTGGTAGGACAGGTGAGGAGGACAAGCAGAGAGGACTCTCACATTCAGAGACTGGTAAAGGAGATGCTATCGTGAACATGGGGTACACATTACTGGAAGCAGTTCTTTCTAGAAGCATGAACACACTTAGGTGGTTTTGGAGACATCCATGGCTCTTCTAAGGGAAAGGAGGGTTTGTTTCTGCTCTCAGCTGGCCAGGCTGAGGCAGGGCTTCTTGGCTCCAACGCTGTTCTGTGGTGCCTTGTCAGCGAACAGGGCACAGGAGGCTGGTTAGGTCTGCAGTTCTTCTGTTCTTGTGACTTGGAACGGTACATTCCACACCATTTCTCTCACACTGGTTTCTCTCTCCCTCTATGTAGGTCCTGCCTAATCATTGGACACGGACTCTTAATAAAACGGTCTTCAGTTCCAGATTCCTTCCCAGCAAGCTCTAGCTTAAGTCCATTTTCTTCTGTGAAAGGGACAGGACTCCATCAAGTTATGGAATTCCTCAGAGCCTGGGCCTGTCCCCCGGGTGCATTAGTCATGTCCATCAGAGCAGCACACGCCTAGTCCCGCCTCCGGGAAAGCTGCCTTGCCTGGCTGGCCTCCCGGGCCTCCTGTGTACAGACTGCCCGGCTGTCCCACCCAGCCTCCCTGGTCGTCTGGGTTCCTCTGGGTTGGTGACATCACCCAGAGAGTGATGACAATCTTCCTACACACGTATGGGTATGGGTGCTGCTCTGTGTGCAAGCCCCCATCAAAAGTATGTTTTCTCTCTCTCCCTTCATCTTTTTCTGCCACTTCCCTCCTGGACCTGGCAGTGACATTTAGCCCAGGGGAGATCTCATTCAGCCAAAGGAAGAACACACATTTACAGCTTTGCCAAGTGAGGAATGGGGGCTGTCCTTTAGCACTGTCTAGTAGCTCATGTGACTTCATCAGCCAGAGGCTATCACCAACCACAGCTGACTCAGCCCCCTAGAGTCCTTCCATTTTTGATGTTCCCCTTGTTGCCTGTTGGGCATTTTTCCGATTTCCTCTTCTGCTAAAGTCGCATAGGGAAAGGACATCCTGGGCTGCCTCTGTCCCTCCCAGGTGGGTGGAAACATGCTGCAGTAGGGCCAGCCACTGGTGAGGGCATTTGGGGAGGATCAGCTGTGTAGCCAGCTGACCTGGCCCCTGGAGCCCATCGTCCCTGCTCCTAGGGGGTCAGAGTCTGGGCTAGCGGGTGAGAAAGGGCTCTCAAAATCTAGAGCACTGGACCGGTCAGCAATGAGGGCTTCAGGGCCCTTGGGGCCAGCTCTCTGCACATCTGTGAGGGATGTGGCCAGTGCAGGGACCCTTCTCGTTTTTAGTCCCCTAGAATAATGGCAGCTGCTGGTAGTTGTGCAGGCCAGGGTGGCTGCATCATATAAGCCCTCTGAGAAGTTTCTTTGCTCTAAAAATAAATATCAGCCCTTTTTTGGTCATGAATCCAGCATCTCAGCAGAAAACTGCCTGATGTGAAAAGTCCTCTGAGAAGCAATATCTGCCTTTAAGGGAGGCTTTTGGCCTCCCCCCACCCCGCTTTAAGTGTAGTTTGTACATACTACAAGGCTTGGCCACCTGCTGGCATCTTGGAGCCAGCCTTCTGGGACTGGAAGCAGGCTTGAGGAGGTGCAGTTCATCATCAGCAGGCCCAAGCAGCTGTAACTGCCTCAGACTGGCCTTGGCCTTGGGCTCTAGCTCCAGCCCCATACCACTACACCCCAGCCTTTAGGATCCTGCTATGATGCTCAGAGTCCCAGGCTGCTCTCTGGTCCTCTGACCAGTTGGCTTCCACTCAAGCTCCATTTGCCAAACAGACTATTTTGAGTTGCCCTTTGGCCTGTGCCTGATGCATTGCCAGTACAGCTCGGCCTAGCTGAAGCCAGGGGGCTTCATGCCCAGAGATTCCCAAAGGACAGTTGCAAAGTAGCTAGCATTGTCTTTCTGGGAATATTCTGCCTACTTGGAACAAATGGCAGCTTGGATTCCCATAGTGTTGGCCTGTGTGCTGCCTGACCCCTTCACACACACTTATACATAGGCTATAGCCACAGACTACAGGATTTTTGCACCCCCACTGTTCAGGGATCCTGTCCTCCTCGCCTGTGAGTTTTCCACTTGGCAGAGAATTTGGTCTTTAGACTCGAGCCTATCACATGTGCTCAGTGCCCACTCCTTATTACAGACCCCTGTGCTTGGAAGGGAGAAGGTGCCGGCTGGGCCTCAACTCACCAGCAGGCTTCGGGGCCTGAGGAGGTGCTGAGGGATAGGAGGCCCAGTTGTCTACTGGCACCAAGACTCCCTAGTTCAGTTTAGGGGCTCCATACCTGTTTCCTGCCCATACCCTCCATCCTGTCTCCGTCCCTTGATTTGAGGGGGGTGGGGTGGGAGGAGGAATCAGCATTTTAATCAGATTTTACAAAAACTTTTTAATTCTTTGTACAATTACCATCCTATGTAAAGATGACATTTGTGTTGAGTTCAAGATTTTCATGGAATAAAGATCGCACAGTCTTTGAGGCCATCTTCATGGAACCCTTTTTAGAGAGTTTTGTGTGGGGGTGTCTTGGGGCTGGTGTGTTGTGAAGCCTGCACTTCTGTCTTGTCTTCCTTCCAGTCACTACAACATGAGACTCGGGCCGCATGAGCCAGATATATTCTCCCAAACAGGCTCCAACACCTTTGGTCCGTCTAGTCCTCTGGTCCTGGGGGTATCCTTTGTGCCGGCACTGCCACAGAGCCCTGGGGTACTCCCAGTGACCTTTCCAAGGCAGCTGAGATTTGTTCCCTGAAACCCCCAGTGCCCCATTGCACTTTGTCCTCACAAGTTCTCCTGTGGGCACCTCAGCTCAGAACCTAAGGGGAGTTAATGAGGACTTAGAGCCACTGTTCCTGCATATGGTGGGAAAAACTAGTGCTTCCTCGAGTCCACAAGATGACAGGCTGCCCTGAACCTGCCCAATCCATTCTATATCCATGACACTGTCTTCTGGTCAGAATTTACCCCCTGGCCCCTCTCCACAGACCCACCCAAAAGCATGCCCAGTGGATGAGCAGCTGCCCACAGCCTCCCTGGGCCTGCCATTTCTGTTAATGGAATCGATAGCTAAGAGAGGATCCTGGTTGGAATACCCACGCCTCTTGCGTTTCCTTGGTGGCCTCTCAGCACTGAGCTTTCCCCCAGCACATGCAGGGTCCCTTTGGTTTTGGGCCTCCAGCATCTTCAGTACAATGCTTCCCCTCACCCCCCTCCATGGAGCTGCCAGACCATGTGGGCTTGATCCTCCAAGCCCCCTAAACTGTCCTCTTTTGTATGTCTCACCCACAATAGTGTCCCTCTCCCCAGGTTTCCTACTGTGACCCAGAGTCCTGAGCCCTGTATCCTGGAATTTCTAGTATTGCTGGGCCTACGATTCTCAAATCCCATGTTTCCCAGTTGCTGCCATTTGTAGGAGGACAACTGTGTAGCTGCAGAGGTCTCTGTTGCTGTTTTGTCTCTTGCATGGAGTGGTAAGCTCTTGCAGGGCACCAGGTCCTATATCCCTTTGGGTGGCACGTGGCACCCTGAAGCTATGCCATGCACCTCACAAAACCTTAGCGTGGCCCTTCATGAAGCAGCTATGAGCAAGGGTAGCCCTGCTTTGGGCAAATCCTGTCTTCTCATCCCAGCAGCAAGAGCCAGCATTCTGGCAAAGGAGCTCAGGAAATGCCAGGCAAAGGTGACAAGAGTCCAAAAGGCACTGTGGGTTCCACTTCCCTCCTGAAGGTTGGCAACTTCATCATTTCCTAGCCTGTGAGCACCAGCCGGGCCTCCTTCCCTCTCAGGTTTGCATACCAGTGGAGTTTGGTGAGAGGCATCCTACTGGCTCGTTCCTTGGAGTGATGATAAAAGTGGCTCTTGCGCACTCCTCACAGATGTGTCCACACAGAGGTGGCAACAAGCTGTCAGCCTCTGAGGAGCCAGGGCATGTACTATTTTCTCCCTGCAGCACGTCCACTGTGTCCCAATACTGAACTTCATTCAAGGCCACTCTGCTGAGAGAAAGGAGAAGCTGGCAATGGCATTGAGCATCTCCCTGTTTGCTCTGTTTGTAGTCCTGGGGAGACTTGCAGCTTGGCCTGCCTCTTTCTCTCTCTCAAAGTACTCACACTGACCTTTCCACGTGTCAGCACTCTTCTCACCTGTCCCATGGCTCTGTGGCCAGACCTTGGCCCAATCCTGTGCCACTGTCTCTCTCACCACTGCTCAGTATATTTGCTCCCCCTGGAGGGATAGGAAGGAGTGCACCTCGGAGGGCAATGCCGTTGGAGCCAGCTGTGTGATCTAGGGCAAGTCTCTTAACTGTGGAGCCTCAGTTTGCTCACCTTTCAAATGGATATCATTTCGAATGCTGCAGTTATTCCAAGACAGAGAAGGTTGGGGTGCAGACACTCAGCTTGCCTTAGTGACCTATCACCGGAAAGTAGGGGTGACGTTGGGCAAGGAGGTCTCCATAGCTCAGCCCTCTGGTACCCCAGGTATCTAATCCTTTAAGCACTGGGGGTGAGGAGCTGGGCAAGGATGCTTTTCAGATATAGTCCCAGCTAGGAAAAGTGACAGGCAAATGGATATGTGATGCTCCACATTGTCTCTCTCCCATGATAGACTCTCATACCAGACAGAATCCAGCCACCATGTCTGGCTGTCACCAGCCCTGAACTCACCTGATTTTTCCTGGTTCTGCATCCAGTGCAGCTCAGGCTTCTCGCCCAGGCCTCACTAGCTTCTCTTTTCCTCTGCAGAGATGGCTCCAAAGTCAAAAAAGAAGGGGCACCCCGGGAGAGAGCAGAAGAAGGTATGTGATCTCGGGGATCTCCCCCTCGGGAGTGGTGGCCACCCACCTTTGTGGGCCCTGGGGGCACCCTGGAGCTGGCCTGAGGGTTTCTGCCTGCCTGACATCAGCCTGTGTGTGTGTCTGTCTGTCTGCAGCACCATCACCACCACCACCAGCAGCTGCAGCAGGCCCCGGGCCCTGGGCCCCAGCAGCCTCCACCACCTCCCCAGCAGCCCCCGCCACCCCCACAGCAGCAGCAGCAGCAGCAGCAGCAGCAGCTGCCCCCACCACCCCCACCCTCCATGCCGCAGCAGGCTGCCCCCACGATGAAGTCCTCGCCCCCGCCTTTCATCGCTACCCAGGTGCCTGTCCTGGAGCCCCAGCTCCCAGGCAGTGTCTTCGACCCCATCGGCCACTTCACCCAACCCATCCTGCACCTGCCGCAGCCTGAGCTGCCCCCTCACCTCCCCCAGCCACCTGAGCACAGCACTCCGCCTCATCTCAACCAGCACTCAGTGGTCTCTCCTCCAGGTGAGCTGTGGCCATACCCAACCAGATTCAGGAAGGCCCCTTCCTACCCTGTTGTCACTGCTGTCTGGCCACTCTGGGCAAACTTTGGAGCCCATCTGAACTTCAGTTATCTCAGAGGGGATGTCAGCAGCTTCCTAGGGCCATTGTGGGAATTACACAGACACCCCAGGGTAGCTTTTGCAAAGGGTTAGTATTTTGCTACAGGAGATAATACAGTTGTGCTGGGCCAAGCATTGTCAAATGAGAAAAGATGTGACCCCTCTGCACCTCCCAGTCAGATTGGGGGACACACACCTCCCAGATAGGAAGGTCAGGTGGAGGCGCTCAGGACATGGCCTTCTCTAAAACCTAAAGGGCAAATGTGAAGATGCAACAGTGGGAGGAAGGGAAGGAAGTAGGAGGCGCAGGGCACCCAGCAGGACAGTGCTGGTGAGGGTCTGTCTGATCACATGGACCTTCTTGGCAACAGTCTTTATTCTGGAGGTGGTAAGGCGTTGAGGAGGGTGGGGAGAGTGCTAGTTGGATAGGAAGCCAGGTGGAATAGAAAGGTCGGGCTGGGGACCGTAGGAGCCTCACTGCCACACTGTTGTGTCCTTCTAGCTTTGCACAATGCGCTGCCCCAGCAGCCATCGAGGCCCAGCAACCGAGCCGCTGCCCTGCCCCCCAAGCCTACCCGCCCCCCTGCTGTGTCACCTGCTCTGCCCCAGCCGCCCCTTCTCCCGCAGCCCCCCATGGCCCAGCCACCCCAAGTGCTGCTGCAGGAGGAGGAGGAGCCGCCTAACCCACCCCTCACCTCCATGCAGATGCAGCTCTACCTGCAGCAGCTACAGAAGGTGCAGCCCCCCACACCTCTACTCCCTTCTGTGAAGGTGCAGTCCCAGCCCCCACCTCCCTTGCCGCCCCCTCCTCACCCCTCTGTGCAGCAGCAGCTACAGCAACCACCACCACCTCCACCACCCCCTCAGACACAGACCCAGCCCCAGCACCAGCCGCCCCCCCGGCCTGTGCACATGCAACCCATGCAATTCCCTACCCACATTCAGCAGCCCCCGCCACCCCCAGGCCCACAGCCCCCCCACCCGCCTCCCAGCCAGCAGCCACCCCCACCACAGCCCGCCAAGCCTCAGCAAGTCATCCAGCATCACCCTTCACCCAGGCACCACAAGTCGGACCCCTATTCAACCAGTAAGTGGCTTTCCACTCTGGGGCTCTGGGGAGGCTGGTCCTGGGTCCAGTGTTTGTCCTTGAGCAGCCAATCAGGTCAGCTCATGCTTCAGACTGAGGTCGGATGGGGTGGCTGATGGGATGCGGGTGCTGCTTATAGCATCTTTATTGGGAGTATCTTATTGTGAGCCAGGATGACCAAGGCCCCTCACTGGCCCTTCTTTTGGAAGTCAGTCAAAAGTGTTACAAGTACGTTTTGATTCCTACTAGATGGGGAAGTCAGGAACCTGGGGAGGCACCTGGTCCATCTCTAGGGGTTGAAGCAGGCTTCCTGGAGGAGGTGGCCAGAAGATGAGCAGGAGCTAGTTTAACAAACAAGGTGGGGATTGGGTTCCAGGAAGAGCCAGGGGCAGGTCTGGGCAATAAGGGTTGTTTGAGAACTTGTAGGAACAGGTACTGTGTGCTTGGTGTCATGAGACCCATCTGGTGGAGCCAGGAAGGACCATGTTGAAGAGAATTGGGCTAAGCTCAAAGGTGGTGTGCCTCCCACCTTCTCCCAGAACCATTTCCATCTCCTGCTGCTTGGTCCAGGCTGCCTTTCCCTCCACAGCATTGGTCAGGCCATGCCCTTTTGTATTTTCTGGGCATTTGTTAATCTAAGTGTCTGTAAACAAAACATTCTGGCTGGCCTGGTGTGGAAATGTGGCTTCGGTTTCTCATGATGTAGTGATGTGCAGGGCTCAGAGTTGAGGTCCCTGGACTTACCAGTGTGGACTGACAGCCAGGCTTGGGGTTGCAGTGGTGCTCTCACAAACTGAACAACAAGGCTGCACAGGCTTCTAAACCCCGCAAAAGCTGTCAGGCGTCAAGAACAGCTGGCTCTCCTCCCTGGGAAAGTCTGGTGCCAGTCCTGGCAGCCATGCAACTGTGCCTGTTTCCCTCCTTAAGCAAGGTTAGGCTTCCTCTGGTGGGCAGTGATAGATGAGATACCTTCAGAAGAGCCAGCAGTGGAGGTGAGGTGTTGATCCCTTCCGGTTGCTTGGGTCCAGCTCCCCTTGAGCTCCCTTGGCTAGAGATTGTCATGGGGAACCATGTAGATTGGGGCCCAAGTAGGGCTTTAGGTCAAAGGCCAAGTCTCTGGAGTCCCAAGGAGCTCAGCAGGAATCCCTGGGCATTGGGTCAGCTCTTAGGCATTTGCCATTGCGTTTCCCCGCTAACTGCTGGAGGAGGAAGCCACCGGCAGGCAAGCAATTTCTACAGATCATAAGCCTCAGAGTCTGCCATCACTCCAGACAACCTCAGCAGAAGCTCCGAAGGGAGCCACCCAGGCAGGAGGCTGTCACAGTCTTGTGCCTACAGGTGGCTGGCTGGCAGGGTTGGTACAGAGCCACAGCACCTAGACCGGCAGAACTAGCCACATAGGCCTGGAGGGCCAAGGCACAGGGACAGGCTGGTCCTTGCCACCATGTCGTCTCTAAACAGCTTTTCTGGCTCCAGAGAGAGAGCAGGGGAATCAGTTGTGGTCAGCTCCAGGCCCACTAAAATGAGCACCTCTGTCCAGAGGCCCATGAAGTGCCCAAAGGTGTCTGTGCTGGCAGACAGAGGCAAGTCATTGGCAGGTCCTGCACATAGAACTTAGGTTAGATGGTTCAATATAAGGCATGAGGCAGGACTAGGAGCACAGAGCTGATTTTCTTTTGTGGGTAGTGTGGCTTGTCCCATGGTAGAGCTGGCCAAGATGTATCACAGGGTCAAACAGGAGGATGTCCCCTTGCTAGGGTACATGGAAGAGTTGAGGGCAGGACTTGGTGTCTTTTCTAGCTACCCAGTTCTGAGGAGCTAATCTGCTGTGACCTAGGGCTATTTTCTCACCAATGAAGCTGAGGTGTCAGTCTTTCCTGCCTGGCCACACTTTCCTGAGTGGGGCCTTTCCTGGCTCCTGCCCTGTGCCCTGTGCTTGTACCCTGTGGCTGCCTGAGTCCTCTCACTCACTGGTTAAAGATAGGTGGGCTGGCCCATTTTCTGTGAAAACCACAAGCCCAAAACCTTTCTCCTAACCCTGCTGTGGTGCCAGCCAGTTCAAGGCTAGCCTTAGGCCTGAAGCACCTGTCTAGGTGGGCAGACGGGGCCACACAGGAACAGCTAGGAGCTAGGCTGCCAGCTCTGTGAAGTTATTGGTGTTCCTTGCATTTAATCTAGGCATTGCCATGGAACTATTTGGTGAGCTTTTTAAAAGTACTGAGGCTTAGACCCTACCTGGGACCAAATGTATCAAGTTCTGCACATCTCAAAACTTCTTGATTCTGTCACAGATTTCAAACCCCAGGACTGAACACATGATTCCACAAAGCCCTGCTCCACACTGAGCTCTAGGCCAGACTGAATGGGTCCACAGGCCCCGTGTGGCAAAGCTCTCGTGGTCGGGCTCCCCTTGGGTTGGGGAGCCAGGCTGGGCCCAGGGCTAGCGACCTCCACACCAGTACGTCTGACATGCTCCTTGTCCCCTCTCTTAGGTCACCTCCGTGAAGCTCCCTCCCCGCTTATGATACATTCCCCCCAGATGCAACAGTTCCAGAACCTGACCCATCAATCACCACCCCAGCAAAGCGTCCAGCCGAAGAAGCAGGTAAAGAGCAGGGCTGGGCCTCGGCCCTCAGGGCCAGGCACGGGCCAAGGCCAAGGCTGCCTGCCCGCCTCACCGGCCGCCGTGCCTGTGCCGTCCCAGGAGCTGCGCGCGGCCTCCGTGGTCCAGTCCCAGCCCCAGCCCCTGGTGGTGGTGAAGGAGGAGAAGATCCACTCACCCATCATCCGCAGCGAGCCCTTCAGCCCCTCGCTGCGGCCGGAGCCCCCCAAGCACCCGGAGAGCATCAAGGCCCCCGTCCACCTGCCCCAGCGTGAGTGTCCTGTCCACTCCCAGCCAGGGCTGAACGTGAGCTTCTATGGGCCAGCCAGCCCACTGTGCTTGCTCAGGTCGGGGATCCAGGCCCACAGGCTGTTTGTGTTTCAGGGCCCGAGATGAAGCCTGTGGATGTCGGGAGGCCTGTGATTCGGCCCCCTGAGCAGAATGCACCCCCACCAGGGGCTTCTGAAAAGGACAAACAGAAACAGGAGCCGAAGACACCAGTTGCACCTAAAAAGGTAGGCTTCATGAGCCCACAGTGTACCTTATGCTCCACCCCAATCCCAGGAAGGTGTCCACATGGCAGCAGGGTCCCTTGCCCACCAAGTGGTCTCTTGCCTCACAGGACCTCAAAATCAAGAACATGGGCTCCTGGGCTAGCCTGGTGCAGAAGCACCCTACCACCCCATCCTCCACAGCCAAGTCATCGAGCGACAGCTTTGAGCAGTTCCGCCGTGCCGCCCGGGAGAAAGAGGAACGCGAGAAGGCCCTTAAGGCTCAGGCCGAGCATGCAGAGAAGGAGAAGGAGCGACTTCGGCAGGAGCGCATGAGGTGGGCACTGGCTCTGGGGGCCAGAGCTCCTGGGATGCCATGGGCCCTAAGCTGACCCGAAGCCCTGTTCTCCTTAGGAGCCGAGAGGATGAGGATGCACTGGAACAGGCCCGGCGAGTCCATGAGGAGGCACGACGGCGTCAGGAACAGCAGCAGCAGCAGAGGCAGGAGCAGCAGCAGCAACAGCAACAGCAGCAACAGGCAGCTGCAGTGGCCGCAGCTGCCGCCGCCCCCCAAGCCCAGAGCTCCCAGCCCCAGTCCATGCTGGACCAGCAGCGGGAGCTGGCCCGAAAGCGGGAGCAGGAGCGAAGGCGCCGGGAAGCGGTAAGACAGGGGTCCAGCCCTGGAGGAGCTGGGAATGGAGACCCTGGGCCCAGCAAGGGGCAGAGGTGTCACTCTGAGAAGTGGGGGCAGGTGGGAAACCATCAGGTGGATAGACCATCAGCTGAGTACTGGGAGCAGGGTACCTACTTGTCCATACCTGTTGTCCTCTGGGCTCTGAGGTTCCAGAGGGTGGGTTCTGAGGGAGCGTTGATGCTGAGGAGTGCGAAGGGCACGTCTCCTCTCACTCCTAACTCCCTCCCTCCTCTTCCCTCCAGATGGCAGCTACCATTGACATGAATTTCCAGAGTGACCTATTGTCAATATTTGAAGAAAATCTTTTCTGAGAGCACCTAGGTGACTTCTGACTTTGATTTTCTTGCAAAAAGTTGACTCTCCATAGTGTTAGGGGCAGCAGCAGGGGCGGTAGCAGCGGCCAGGGCCTGTCTCCGGGCTTGGCCCTTGTGCATGCTATGCCGGGGTGGGCCTGACGGGCAGCTGAGGACTGCAGAGCCTGTCTGCCTTATAGCCAGCCGGACGTCCTGCCACATTCACAGGACATCAGCTCAGAGCACGTCTCACCATGAGCAAGTGCCGGCCAGATCCAAGTCCACGTCCCCGCGTGTGGGCAGAGGCCCTACTCTCCGCCAAATGTCTACACAGTATACACAGGACATCGTCGCTGCCGCCACCGTGACTGGTTTTCTGTCCCCAAGAACGTGACGTTCGTGACGTCCTGCCTGCCGGGAGTCCTTCCCCACGCCCCAGCCTCAGCTGCCTGCCTCCAGGAGACCAGGCAGGCCTAAGCAAGCTGGAGGCGGAAGAGGGCACCGGTCCACCCCCTTGCTGGCACTGACTTTGCCTTGAACAGATCCCAACCCTCCCCTCCCCCCACAAGCCTTTAATCGAGAGCCGCTCTCTGTAAGTGTTCGCTTGTGCAAAAGGGAATAGTGCCGTGGAGGTGTGCGTGTGTCCATGGCAATCCAGAGCGAGGTGACTGTCACGCGTGTGGGCCGGCCTCGCCTGGTGAGTGAGGCCACCAACCAAAGTCAGTTCCTTCCCACCTGTGTTTCTGGTTTTTTTTTTTTCTATATATATATATTTTTTTTGTTGGATTCTATTTTATTTTTAATTCTCTCTTCTCCTCCAAACATAATGGCACTGCTTACTACTAAAGGGTGTGATTCTCTCCTCACTGGGCAGCAGCTGCTACCGCGCTGTGGGTAGTGTATGACCGTGGCTGTACTATATAGTGAAACATAGTTGGCATATCTTTGTTTCAAGTTTGTTGGTGACCCCACCATCATGATATGAAAAACTCAACCCCCCCCACACACACACAAAAACAAAACAAAAAAACTGTATTTTACTCAGTTCCAAACTTTATTAGTCTGTTTTTAATTGTTAAACCAGAAAGCTGTGTTTTCTTTTCCCTTCCCAACCCCTTTTGTTGGCTTGTTTTTTAACGTCAAATCTGTTTGAGTTTTTTTACCAGAAAAGGAAGGGGTGGGCCAGGGTACAAGGCGGGTCCAGGGCCACAGACTGAGGCAGGGGGTCCCAGCCTAGTGCCTGCCCACCCAGTCAGCTGCCACTTCCCCCACTTTTTTTTAAATTTTATTTTATTTTATAATTGGAGCCCTTGGTGAGGTTACGCGTGCCATGAGAACCCACTCTCCACCACAACGCTGGTGCCTCAGTGTTGGCCAAACTCGAGTCAGTGACTGGTTTGACTTTCATATGGTGAATATGCATTTGGTCTGTACTGATCATGGAATAAACACATCTCTCTTTTTTAATGCTGACGTCTCCCTGACATTTCTTTGAACTACCTGTTGTCTAGGCTAGGCCCAGGAGTCTGTGGACCTCAGACCATGTCTGTATAAGAACTCCTGCAAGGGGCCACCTGGCCCATCTCCTGTGGTCTGTCCCTGCCATCCCAAGCTGAATGGGAGCCCAGGTACCCAATCTTACCCCCTGGGCAGGTGACATGCTCCAGCAGAACCTGGCTAGATTCCAAACAGTATTCTTCTCCTTCACCCTCCATCCTTGTCCCCCACTCACCAAGGGGACTTGGACCACTCTCCGACCTTGCCTGCCTCTACCTAACTCCTTTCATTTAAGCTCAGGGTTAACCAGATATTCTTAGATAAGTGTACATCCTCCCAACTAGGGTCCTCCCTCACACGCACACAGATGTGCACGCACACATTCCTGCCAGAGAGAGTCCACCAGGTGGCCACCCTGCCTGTGTGCCCACAAGGCAAGCTCAGTCCACAGGAGCAGCCCCTAAGATGTAAGATGAAAGTTTATCATTTATATATATGCAGAGACACAAACTAATTCAAACATTTCTAGCACTGTTTAACCCATAACCCCCTATTTTAACTAGAAAGACACAGTGTGTTGTGTTTGGGATCTCCCAGACCCGAGTGAGGGTGCAGTTTGGGCATCCAGCCAGAGCCCAACCACTGCCACCTCCACCACCCTCGGAGCCCCTGCTCCCACCCTCCAGGCACTTCTCAAACCACTGTGCTCGACCAAATATGACTTACATTTTGGTTCTTTGAGGTTTCTTCCATCTCATCCCACACCCTTGTTTTTGTTCCATGTTTTGTTCCAAAACTTGCCCAGGCCAGGTCCGACTATTTAGCTGGAGAAATGTTTTGTCTTCACCTTCCTCCTAGAGTGAACTCTGCCATGGCCCTCTCCACACCTCCCTCATAGGTGTTTCTCTAACTGGGTTGTAATTAGAACTTGAATCTATTTAATTTCTCTGGCCATTTCCCAATTCCTCCCACAGTACTAGAAATCTTCGTCCTATACAAGAGTGAGAGGTGTGTACAAGCCCCCACTGTACTGTATGCACGGATCGCTTGGCCAATAATTATGTCAGTGAATCTGAGACTTGTATTAAACACTTTAGACATTTGTAGAAGGGAATTCGTAGACTTTTCACTTATATACTAAAGGTTTTTTTTTTTTGTGCAGTTCTCATTGCAAAAATAAACATTTGTACTGAATATAAAATTATCGTCCCGTGACTACTTCTTTTTGTTGGAGGGTAGAGCCGGGGGTTGAGGGTGGGGATGTGAGTCACTGTTGTATAGCACAGGAAGAAAGGGTGTACCCAGACACCACCACTGTGCAGCCAGATTAGAAAATTCGGAGGAATACCAGGATTGTCAAGTGTTCAGAGAATTGATTTTATGGAAAGTGTCGAAGAAATTAAAGCTATGATACAGGCTAATCGTGCAAGAAAAGAAAGGCAGCGCAGGGAGAACAAACATACAATACAGGCAGTGTAATCATAGACGGCCACTTGACTGAGTGCATTGTTTACTCAGGCCAAACCATATAAACCACTATTCCCCTTTAAGTACCAAACCACAGACTTAATTATGGCCCCGGAACAGTATAATGTTTCGTGTCGACAATACAAAGGTAAGGTTAACAGTGGAAAGGGAGGTGGGAGATGACAAAAAAAAAAATAATAATAAATGGAGTGTTTCAAGTGGATGATCCAATGAGAAAACTACAGATGGAAACAGCTTGTCTAGTGGTGGTGACATGACCAAGTCATTGGATAATATCCCAAATTGCTAATTGAGAAATAGGCACATAAGCACATTCAGATACCCAGGATACCAGCAGAAAGCTAAAAGCGTTCCAAAGGCTGCCAGTAGGCAGGAGAGGTGGAGTCCGAGATTGCTGCTTTTTTCAAAATCTTTGCTGTTTAGCCAGCTGTATGGCTTTAGGCAAATGACTTAATCCTCGAATTGCAGGTTCATGGTTCATAATGCAGTGATGTGATAATAGCACCTACACGTAATAGGGTTGTTGTAAGTCTTGAATGATCCTGAAATATGCAGGATCCTGGGGGAAGGTTACAAAACAAAGAGGAAGAAGCCTCTTAACCGGCCTGCCCCCGCGTCCTCTTTCGGCCACAGTCCCAGTGACTCAATTGGTCCGGTTCTGCGAAGAGTCAGAGCAACCGTCACCAAAGGCTGTCATCGGTGGTGGAATCCGAGCTTCAACACCTGCGGATTCACTCTCTGACGGGACTCGTTGCCTGCGTATCAAAATGATTGCCGCAGTCCAATCACAACCAAGCAGGGGCGGGCTGGCGGGCCCGCTGGGCTAATGAGAGGGTAGCGCGGGATCGAGGCTACAGGCTAGCTCTTGGAACCAGGGCTGGGTGAAGGCACTGTTAAGTCTCTCGGAGCCAAGCTGAGGGGATGGTTGCGCGCTCCAGAACCAGGAGCTCCTGGGAGGCCACAGCCGGGGCTACCCAAGCCTCTTAGGACCACGGCAATTTCTTATCTCAATTGTAACCCGGCCCCCCCCATCCCCCTACTTCCGGCCCGCCTGACCCGCCATATTAGGGCCTGGCACCACCCCCTCGCTTCATTGGCCCAGCCCTTACTCAAGCCTTCTCCACTCAAGTTAGACTCTGTCTCCTCTGGGCTCCGCCTTCTCCCGCCCCGCCCCGCAACCCCGTCCACTATCATAGACCACGCCCCCAAGCCATACAATGCTTCTGGGCCAGGTTGGACCGACCCCTACGAGTCCTTCAGTGTCCCGTCCATTCGCTCCTTCCTTTTCACCCAGGAGGCCCCCTCTTTCCTGTTAGTGCAATTGTGCAGGACCCCAATCTTCCTCAAGAGTTTAGACCCCCAACCACCTGCTGTGGGAATCCTATTAGACCACGCCCCCTTAAGCCCCACCCACCATGCCAGTTCCCCTCCTCACCTTGCCCCAAGGCTCCTCCCCACCCACCAAAGACTGGGCCTCGCAGGCTCCACCCCGGCATCCTAACCTGCCTGTCTGTGGCGGTCGCGCCCAGGTGTTTACCTGGCACTCAGGTAAATCGTGTGCGGTGTCGGGTTCGGCTTGAGCCGCCCGACCTTCTCTCCGCACGTTCCGCAAGCCCCGACGGCACGGAGGGACTTCAGGCTAAAGGCGGTGGGCTCCACAGCCCGGACCCCGCCTCGCTGCTGCGGCCTGCGCCCCTGGCGGAGACCCGGGACGTCAGCACGGTGGTTCCGGAACGCGGTGAAATGCCCGAGCTGGTGGTGACAGCGCTGCTGGCGCCATCGCGCCTCACCCTGAAGCTACTGCGTGCCTTCTTGTGGAGCCTGGTGTTCTTCGCAGCGCTGGTGGCCGCCGCCGTCTACGGCTGCATTGCGCTCACTCACGTGTTGTGCCGACCCCGGCGCGGCTGCTGTGGGCGCCCCCGGCGTACTCCACCCGCCTGCTTGAGTGACCCAGCGTTAGGCAAGCACAGCTTCCTGACCCTCAAGGTGAGCGCGCGGGATGCCGTCAGGGTTGCCGAGGGTACAGCAGCTTGGGAGGCGGGACCGGGTCATGGTGGTCAGCTAATCGCAAAATATTGAATCCAAATCTAAGTTGTCACAAGGCTGAGGCGGGGGTGGGGGCCCAGGGAGGGTCGATTTGGGAAGGAGAGTTTCAAGCCCAAGGAAGAGGGCTTTCCCCGGAAAGGGAGGTTCCCTAGATCTCACACTTTGCCTCTTCCAGAGCTCGGGCCTGCGCCTGCACTATGTCTCAGCTGGGCGCGGCAACGGGCCCCTCATGCTGTTTCTGCACGGCTTCCCTGAGAACTGGTATGTCTGAGGGCAGGGGCCTGGGTGCACAGGCCTGGGGACAGATGGAGCTGGGACTGCCCGGGAGGAGGGACCAAGCCTGGGTAGACTGGGAGCACAAAGATATTGGGCCCAGATGGGGAGCTTTGGGACAGAGGTCCATTCGAGGACCTAGGGACCAGAGGCCCTAAGGGATGAGACAAAGAGGAATCTATGTTAACACCCCCTGAGATCCAGGGCGCAGTAACCTCGCCCTGGGCCTGGGGTTCCCCATCCTCCTTTCTTAGAAGTCCAGAGGAGGAAGTTGGGGTCACTAAAGGCCCCTGCTGGGTTAGGGCAGAGGTGCAGCTTGAGGACCCTGACTCAACCTCCCTCCCTCTTCTCCCTGCTGGACAGGTTTTCCTGGCGCTACCAGCTCCGGGAGTTCCAGAGCTGCTTCCACGTGGTGGCTGTAGACCTGCGTGGATATGGCTCCTCCGATGCACCCAGGGATGTGGGCTGTTACAATATCGACCTGCTGACTGCGGACATCCAGGATGTCATCTTGGGCCTGGGTGGGGACATGCCCCTGCCTCACCCCTGACTCCCCCACCCTTGACTCACCTGGTATCATACTTACTCCAGTTCCTCTGATCCCCCAGGTTACTGCAAGTGCATCCTTGTGGCACATGACTGGGGTGCAGTCCTAGCCTGGAATTTCTCCATCTATTACCCATCCCTAGTGGAGAGGATGGTGGTGGTCAGTGGCCCCCCCTTGTCGGTGTATCAGGGTATGTCAGGGAGTCCAGGACACTGGAATGTATCTGTTTGAAGGGGCATGTGTTTGTGTCTACACTTATCAGGCCACCAGTCAACACTCCAGGGGCTGGGGGTGGGGTCCCTTCCCCTGTGGCACTTCCAGTCTACATTCAATGACAGTACACTTAGCAGTAACTCACATTTTTTGAGCACTTACAGGTAACAATTTATCTGACAAGGAGCCTCATACAGTAACCTACACAAGCCTCCTAGGCTTATGAAAGTGTTATTATCCCCATGGTCCAGTTGGGGAAACGGAGAGAGGTTAAATGGCTTTCTTCTAGCAGTGAAGACACAGGTAACTAAACAACTAAAATAGCATGAGATGCCATCTCTGGCTACCCAGTGTTCATCACATCACCTGATTTTAATTCCCAGCATTATTGTATTCACAACTCTATCCTCGTTCTCCCCCCCACCCCCTCTCTGTCGTTTCTTGCCTGTCTCCATTTCTAGACTGTCACTGCCTGCGGCCAAGGGAGTTTTGTCTATTCTGTTCACTGCTGTGTCTCCAGAGTCTAGAACAGGGCCTGACACACAGTAGGTGCTCAATAAGTGTTTGTTGAATGAAGCAGGCCTGGGCAAAGGAAGCACACCAGTGGCTGTGGGAAGCTCCAGGAGCTACAGAGGGAGATGCCTCCATTCTGTGGGTATAGTGACTACTTAGTTTGTAGGGAAGCTGGTGTCAGGGTGAAGGGAGTCGTTGGGTATCTTCATAGGCTCAGGCAGGCAGTGGTTGCATGCCTGAGTGTTGACACATCTGTGTGCCTGACTAGAGTGTGTATAGTGGTGCAGGGGTATGGAGCCACCTAGGTCCAGGCCTCATGTCTGCATTCCCCTCCCCCTAGCATACTCAATGCGCCACATTAGCCAACTCTTCCGTTCCAACTACCTGTTCCTGTTCCAGCTCCCCTGGCTGCCCGAGAAGTTGCTGTCAATGTCTGACTTCCAGGTGAAGAGGGATGAAGGCCTGGGGGTGGGAGGGAATGGAGGGTGGTTGGTTGGAACTGAGATAGGTTGAGCACTGAAGCCAGAATTCTGCCATGTTCCCAGATCCTGAAGACCACCCTCACCCACCACAAGAGTGGCATCCCACACTTGAGCCCCAATGAGCTTGAGGCCTTCCTTTATGACTTCTCACAGCCCAGTGGCCTCACTGGGCCCCTCAATTACTACCGAAACCTCATAAGGTAAGACCAGACCCAGGCAGAAGCTCAGGAGAGTTGGTGGGGAAGGAGGTGGGGGCAACCTTTCTCCCTGTCTGTGTTGGCCATAGGAACTTCCCTCTGGAGCCCCAGGAGCTGGCCACACCCACTCTGCTGCTGTGGGGGGAGAAAGATACCTACTTGGAGCAGGGGCTGGTGGGGGCCATCAGCAATCACTTTGTGCCTGGCCGGCTGGAGGCCCACATCCTGCCAGGTGTGGGGCACTGGATCCCACAGAGCCACCCTGAGGAAATGCACCAGTACATGTGGGCGTTCTTGCAAGACCTGCTGCACTAGTAGCCCTCATTCACTGGCTTGTGTGCACCTGGGGGTACACATAGCATACATACCTGGGTGGTCTCCTGGATCATGTATAGGTGTGGAACTCCTAAATCACTCACTAGTGCATCTCTAGGTGCCCTGGGGTACACCAACCCACGCACAAACCTGAGTGTGCATGTTTGAGCAAGCACTTTGACCCCAGGAAACCAGGGATACCTCTACTCTGTGGAGCTGGATGCTGAGTGGTCTCTCTCTCTTCCATGGGGCCCCAGTTTTCTCACTGAAATCAGTGCCTCCTAAACCCTGACCTTCCTGTCTCTGGCTTCTACCTCCAGTCTGGGTCTTCAGCTAAATGCTGCTTTGTACAATATAGTACTAATAGTCACATCTGGCTACTTTCATTTATTTGCAAATTAATTAAAATTAAATATGATTAAAAATTCAGTTCCACAATCACACCAACTATCTTTTGAGGGCCTCAGCATAAAAAGTTATATTAGAGAGTGCTTGTGAGGGTATTCCTAGTGTAGGGGACCTCCTACCTGGCTTCTGACCACTTCACCAAGGGAGGACCCACCTGGACAGGCAGGTGGGTGTCCAGACCCCTCTCTAGCCAGACCCTGGGCAGCACTCTCCCATAATCATCCAGTCATGACTTGAGGCCTTGGAAGTTCAGGTTCTCTCATACCAGCCTGAGATCTAGTCTCAGATCCATGGGAAAAAAGGCTCTCGTCTCCCTTAGCATATGTAAAATTCTGGGGCACAGGGAAGGACCAGCTCTCTGAAGGGCCATCTGAAGTCTGAGGCCTACTTCTTTGGCTCCTGGAATCATCTCCAAATTCACCAGTTCCTGTTGATAATTTCTGGGGGTCCAAGGCTCCCAACTTCCCAATTAGGATGGCACAAATCAAGGGTGGACTACTCAGCCCCAGACAAGTCACAGCACGAACTTCTATCTCCCCAACCTTTGTCTGATCTTTGGGGACAGTGTCACGACCTGCAACATGGTAAATCTCTCCAGGGATCCAGCAGACCTCACACAACATTCTCATCTCCAGGTTGGGCCTGCCTGCTGGTCAACTCCCCTGCCCTCCCTTGTCCCCAGTATATCCTCTCACTCATCATGTGTCAGGCACTGTTCTAGGCACGTGGGATAGTGTGAACAAGGACACAGCCTCATTCCAGGGTTAACAGGTGAGACATCAGAGAGCTATGTGTGAGGCGGGCTTTGGGAGAAACTTCCCTTGCTGGGGAGCACGATTTTCAGGAGTGGGGAGCAATAAATCGGAAGGTGGGAAGCTAGAATAAGCTCAGGCTACTGGAGTAACAATGAGGTTTGTGGCTGCTGACGCAGAGCAAGGAAGAAGGCAGCCAGACCCAAGAGTTTGGACTCGATTCGGGGGGCGGGGCGGGACAGTGTTCAGCAGGAGAGGGACATGGTTTGCATTTGGAAAAGCTCCCTGTGGTGGCTGGACTGTCCCACGCAAGAGTGCGAGCAGGAATCACAGCCTCAGCATGAGGCGGTGACCGGAGCTGGGACCCTCGCCCAGGGTTGGAGCAGTGCCCTGCTGGGGGCCCGGAGATGGGCGAGAGGAGCTTGGGGCAGAGGTCCTGGGCGAGCAGGCCCGAAGGCAGGAGCAGGAGGATGTGTCAAGGGGGCGGAGGTTTGGGCGACCGTTGCCAGAGTGACAGGGGAAGGGCTGATGGTTGACTGGAATGGGTAGCAGTTGTCTGGGTGACCAGAGGGGCCCTGGAGAAGGCTGACTGGAGGCCTCGGACAGTTGCCGGAGCGACGATGTCCGCGGACGGTTTCCTAGGTAACAAGAAGGCGCCATCTTCCGCCTCGGCTGCTGCCACAGGGAAGCAGGGGCGGGGGTAGGAAAACGATCGCTTTGATTGGGCAGAGTCCTGAAGAATGAGCCAGTAGCGAGTTGCGGCTCAGCCGAAGCCCTCTTCTCCCAGCCTCAGCCAGTCCTGGCGTGTCTTCCAGCCCTGGGGCTGGAACGGAGCGGAGACCTTGAAGTCTTGGAGTAGGGCAGCTGGGCCATGGGTTCAACTAAGCTCGGCCTCGCCCTTTCCCAGCTCAGAGCTCCCGCCTCCCCTTCCATCATTCACTTACTCATGCTTTCGTTCATTCAACTGTTTCTACCACCAGCTCTAAGCCTCTAGCCCCTCAACAGAGGAGGGGTGGGGACGAAGCCCGGCACAGACACTCAGCCCTGTGTGATTAAGCCCAAGCGATCTGAAGAAATGGGGAGGGGTACATACCTAGGGGGAGGGGAGAAAAGGCTACCTGGAGGAGGTGGTCTTGGAGCTGAACACTGCAAGTACGTGCTCCCATGCACTGATGATGTGGCATTCCGTGACACCGGAAGCAAAGTTTGGGATGGGAAGACATGCGATTGCAAAGAACTTCAAATAGCAGGTCAGGAGTGTGTGAGCCCAGTGTGATAGGGGCCAGTCTGGGTGGATCCTGGGCAGATCTGTGTGTCTAAAATATTACTTGGGGCTTGGACCCCTAGGGCAGGGACCTAGAAGCATCTAATGGGTTAAAGACAGATGGCCCAGCGGGGCAGAAGGGCTCTGAAGCTGGGTGAGAGAATGGGGAACAGGACTGGAGACTGAGCCCTGGGTGCCCCCAATATCTACGGGACGGGCAGAGGAGAGAGACCACAGAAGGAAGAGAGGAAGCAGGCAAGCATGGTGTCCCAGCGACGGAGGAGGGGTTTCGAGGAGGAAGGGCATAACGGAGTGAAAAGGCACTGAGAGACTGAGAGGACTGAGCCTTGCAGATCTGAGCTGGGAAACCCTAGGGGGCGCTGAGGACAGAGGGCATGGATGCTCTGAATGCAGCTTAGCAGGGACCTGAAGGGGAGAGTGGGGACCCCATTGAGGAGCCTGGAGGAAACAACTGGCACATTCAGATGGGGTGATTTGAGTCAGATTTGCTACAGGGACCAGTTACATTGGGCAGATTTGGGGAAACCAATGGGGCGAGAGCCATTACCATCGCTGGATTCCCCAGACGAGGTGAGAGGAAGGAAGGTTAGCAGAGCCCAGGGAGAGATGTGTGTGGACAGAGCCTTTAGTTAAAGGACACAGTTAACTGAAGTGACCCTACAAGGAAGATTAATATCCCATTCTCTCTTCTGGCTTCTTCTTCTGCCAGTACCTCCTATTGGCCAAACCCACCTGGAAGTCAGAGGACAAGGCTGCCATTGATACAGCTTGGAGAGGTCAGCCTCTCAGGGCATAGAGTAGAGTGGTCAATGGGGAAGATGAAGCCAGTGGTGGAGGGTGGAGGGGAGGTAGGGGGAGATGTGGTGACAGAGACAGGAGCTTGGAGGCTGGGTGAGGCATGAGAAATGAGCATGCATTTGCTGTGAGTTTTACTTTCTCACGAAAGAGACCTCCTCCCTATGGCCAAGGGAGGAGGGAGTGAAAAACCCCAAGGGTGGAGAGGGCATAGAGAGGTACTCCCCTTCTCCAAAGCAAGAGGAATGGTGGAGAGTGCAAGTGCCACACCTGCAGAAAGAAAGATTAAGTTTCAAGAGCCAGGGAGGCAAAGACAGAAAGTTAAGGGACATCAGAGCACCATAGTTCAGAGATGAGTGGAAGAAGATGAGGTCCTGAGTGAGGGCTTGGCCATGGAAGGTTGGAGTCGTCTGAGCCCAGGGCCTGTGAGGCCAAGACATCCACTGGCTGTCCCACCCAGTGGAGGGAAACTACAGCTCCAAGAAGGGGTGGGGAGTAGCCTCCTCTCTTTCCCTGGCCGGAGTTGCAGATCCAGTAGGTGCTCAAACTGAAGTGAATTCCCTTCTCCCTATTTTTTCTTCCACATTCAGCTTTCACATCCCCTCCTCATCCAGGAAGCCCCACCAGCCCCCAGCCCTTCCTCTGACCCAGTCCTCATCTAATGGGGGTTGGATGTGTCTGTGTCCAGACAGGGACATCTCAAGAGCTGGTACTGGGCATATTCAGGTTCCAGCTCCTGGGTAGTATTTTGCTCCAAGATGTACAGGGCACAGTCATTTGTTAACTGACAATTTTTTCACCTACTCTACTGGGCTTGATGCTAGACATTTGAGATTCAGCAATGAATAAGACAGATGCCCACAGAACTCAGAATGCCATGTGGGAGCCAGGTAGAGTCACATAGAGGAGTGGGAGCTGAGATGGAAGGGATCGTGGGAGCCAGAGAAGACTGTGTGTAGTTGCAAGAAGGCTCCTTGGGAGAAGAGGTGGCAGAACTTCCAGAGTTCTGATCTTTTACCACCTCAGGTCAGCTTCCCTTGGCTAAAACCCTCTAGTGGCATCTACTGTGCTTGGGACAGGATGCCAGACCTTTCAGCCCCTTAGGACTTGGCCCCTGTCCTTGATCTCCTACCCCTTGCTCACTCTGCACCCAGCACCCTGGCCTTTTTACTGTTCCTCTCATCCACCCTGCCCTTCCTCCTTGGGCCTTTGCAAATGCTGTTCTCTCTGCCTGGAACACCCTTTCCTCTGGCTGTTTGCCTCACTAGCTTTTCCCTCAAGTCTCAGATCTGAGGTCCCCTCTTCAGCAGAATCAGACCACTCCCCTCCAACACTGAAATCTCTTTTTCTCATGTCATGTGAGGTGGTTTTTATTTGTTTGCAGTCTTGTTTCTTGCCTGTCTCCCTTATCAAGGCAAAAACTTGCTCTGTGTTGGTTGGTCCTCTCTGCCTATACACAATAGGGCCTGACACTGAGTAAATAGGGACTCAGTAACTGTTTGCTGAATAACTGAGTGAAGAAGAGCTGGAGGGTGAAAGGAGCCCTCTGCATATGAGAAGGGAGCTAGCAGTAGTGGGTGCAGCCTATGCAAGGATGGGGACAGCTGGGATGGGAAGTAAAGCTGGGAAGTTGGGAAGGTTGTCACTCTGGGCAGTGGGGAGCCATGAAGGGTTTGAGCATGAGAGGGCCCTAGGAAGGCAGTGGCCAGGAGACCTGGCTGGGTCTGCAGCCTACAGCCCCTGGTCTCTAGCTGTCCCCCTCTTGCCCAGGACCCACCCAGGAGCCCTCACCCCTACTGGTCCTGGTTGGGCTCCCACGGCTCACTGCCTGGGCAGCAAGACCTGTCCCCAACTTCCATGCAGAGAGCAGGACTGTGGTCCCAGGCAGAGAAGCTAAGGACATGTTCTCAGGTTCCTGGTCAGCAGGCCTGGGCCTAGCAGTTGTGTGTTGGCCTGACCCCAGGTCACCAATCCCTAGGGACTGACTCATTGAGGAGAAATGCAGTCCCCAGCCAGGGCAGCCAGCAGAGGCAGGGGGAGGGCTCAAGTCTCCCTTACCCCCAACACATTGGGAACTGTGCAGCTGCCCCTGCAAGGCCGTGGGAATAGTCTCTTCAATGTCCTGTCCCC